AAAAAAATTTTAACAAAAAATTCAGCCGAATAAAATGTAACAGAAAAATTCGACCGAAAAAGCTTCAACAAAAACATTCGACCGAAAAATTTTAAGTAAAAAAGTTCGACCCCACTTTCCGACTTTTGAACGACTCTTCTTCTACAATAACGAAAAAAGAACACCCCAATAACGCAAACCGATCTCAAGATATGAACCAATTAACACGACAAAACATGAAAAATATTAATAACTGTCTAATTTAAACGCCAATTTTGAGGGTATTTCCGGCGGAATTTGGAGGGTGTCAAATACGCATCGTTTTAAATGACTCTTCTTTTGAAATAATAAAAAACGAAGAAAAAACGATATGAGCCAATTTCCTCGACAAAACATGAAAAATATTGAAAAATGCTTAATTTTAAAGCCAATTTTGAAGGTGTTCCCGGCCGAATTCCGGAGGCGGAAAAGTCGTTTCATATAAAATGACTCCTCTACAAAACTAAAAAGTGAACACCCCAATAATGAAAACTGTTCCCGAAATAAAAACCAATTTCAACCTTGAAACATGAACAAAATTGAAAACTGCCAAATGTTGAAGTCAAGTTTAGTGTGTTTGGGTAGCATTTTGAGGGGCGGGCAAAGCGTTACTTGGATTTTATTGCATCGAGTCCAATTCAAAAATCCGTAAATTGAAAATTATACGGTGGCTGTCGGACGACGGCAGGTCACGCGCGCACAAATTGAATATGGCCTCAGAAACACGCTTAAGAATTCACACGATATTACGAAAACTCGATACACTTCTGTTACCGCTAATTACTGGCGGTATGCGATTGTACTCGTATTAAGAAACACAATTACCGAATTATATGAAATACCCAAGCATCGTGGCGAGCTGAGGCGCAGCACACAAAACAACCGACGGTAAAAATGAACTGACCCCTTATCATGTAAGAATATACCTGCGTGCGCGCAAAGAGTAAGTAACATGCGCACGACAAGGCTGAATATGAACAACGTAAACATAGATAAGACACTACTTCACACAAGGCCAATCTATGAACGCGATGTAAATAAAAAACTGAAATACAACATTTTGATACACCTAGCGCAGCGTAGCGACAATTTTGTTTCCGAAATAGAAGTATTATTTACAAACATAAAAATGAATTGCAAAGCGTTCCCGAGCTATGAGCCGATTTCGACGACGAAACATGAAAAATAATAAAAATTGTCAAATTTTAAAGCCGATTTTGTGGGTGTTTCCGAGGGCGGCAAAGGCGTGGTGATAAAAATAAGTCTTCCCCTACAATTGATTGAATGATTTATCCACTAAGTAATTTTATTATAAACTCACTAACATAACGCTCAATATCCGACGGCCGACGGAAACTCACTTGCAACAGATATGAAGTGCACATTCCCGAAAATTCCACTCGTTATAAATTGAAAACGAAACATAAAACGTGTCCATTAGTACCAAATTCACTTGATTGTTGATCGAATCTACCGCAATGTTCCAAATTATTTACAATTTTAACAAACAAGACGACTTGTGAAACGCGTATCGACTAACCGACCGTACAACGACGACTAATACTACGTAGAGGACAATGTAGCGACGACTAGCGACGATTTTACGAATTTTGCGCGATAAAAATTTGTTTGTATGCAAACACTGATAAATGTTTTAGTCACAGAGCCAAACACGACAAGTAAAGGTGATGTGCAAGTCTATCAATACCACTACCTGACCACATACACAGAAAAGGTTTAGTGTACATAGAAAACACTTAAATCTAGCAAAATCGCACTTGAAATATTTGGATTTACATTTCGTCTTGAAAATTTATTAATTAAACTAGCGGATTCAAGAGATTTCGTTCTGTCAAAAAGATTTGGAATGTGGCATTTTTTTCTCCTGAACAGAAGTCACCCTGGTGATAGGGCGATGTGTGGGGTCCCAATCGGGTGACCAAAGTATCTTCGTTTCCACGAACTTTGTCCACCCATTCAAGAACAAATTATATTAGTGGGGCTCACTAAAACACCCCGAATTGTAAAGTGTAAAGTATTTACACAAAACACGAAATGAAACAATCAAACAAAAATGTATCGAGGAAAGCCGCAGTTTCGTTTATCAGTTGAAAAAGGAAAACTTAGCTTTTCCCAGTTTCCTGGCAATTATTCAAATTTATCTCAACATAAAAACCACCCTTGGACTTAAACAAACATTTAAAAAAAAAAAGAATTGGCCAAATTGGCCTAGGCGTTATTGAGTTATGCGGTTACCATCAAATTTTGCGATTCATTTTGATATTATAGATTGACTAGCTGCCCTGCCGAATTTCGTAACAACTTTCCTTTCTTGAATATTTTCGAAATTCCTGAAAGACTTCTTTGCCATTTGCAGGGCCGTCGAGAGCCAGCGCGGGCCCCGGGAAGATTAAAGTTATCAATCAATATGGTATAACTATATTGTAGATGTTATTTTCAACAATGGAAACAAGTACTTATTAACATAATTAATTGTTACGTATGTACATGTTTATTATTGTAATTAATACTCTTTCCTCGTATATTGAACCGTTCACACTGTTATTGCTGATAGTTTTTGACTCAAAGTGCCAGAGGTTAAACTAAATACACATTAAATTATAACAAGCCATTCAAATATTCATTTTCTGTACTCTCACAAAAAGTAAACATTAATTATTAAATAATAGTCTCTATTTTGTTCATCATTTAATGAGAAGCTCTAGCCGCGTTTGCTCCAACTGCTTCATTACCCCTGAAGGTGTTTTGTTAACAAATAACAATAATAAGTAAATATGAGATAAACTCATGAACTTACAAAGTGTGTAATTATATTATTTAGTATATCACGAACAATACGCTTGCTAAATATTTATTCTACGTCGCGCATTGTTTTTGGTGCTTTAACCTTTCATTTTCGAATGCCTTAAGGATATATGTATTAATGTAATATAATATTAAATTTTTTCAACAAAACTTAAAATAAATAAATAAAATAAACCTTTCGGGCAGGATTGTTTTGACAATCCAATTCTTATGATGACAAGTAAAATTTTCATTGGGTAGTGTAATCGACAAGAACAATTTAATATATGCAACGATGTGGGGTATGCACAGACGGAAGAACGAAAACTTCTTAATTAAGTACTTGAACAGCAAGCATCGCGCCGGCAAATGGATGGGCGTTTAATTACCGCGTCATCGCGATAGTTTTGTGTTCTGATGCAAATTGCGCATTCTCGAATTCTCATCAACGCAGCCCGCGCCGTGCTTTTTGTTTTATCCACCACTACTCTATTTTCATGCGCCAGCTTATCCTGAGTGCAATCGCTACGGCAGACAATACATGTACACATATGCAAAAACTATTTTATGTCTAAAACTATAATGTTTTATTAAGAATAATTGAATAAATAAAATAAAATTATATGAATGATTGACTACAGTATTCCGAATCAATAACTCAAACTGTATATAATTTAATTTAATTACTTTTAAATCTTGTCGGCTTCTGCAATTTATTAAATAACTTAAATACAAAATTGATTTATTAATTTATTTGCTAACAATGTTTGCCTAATTATAAATTCAAAAACATTACAGGATAAATTAGGCCTCGTGGGTAATTTAATTACCCTGCAAAAAAGATGGATGCAAATTTTCTTTACATAAGTGGGAAGCTGAAAGCGGAAGCTTGAAGGAAATGGTACAGGATGTTGTGCTGTTAATACCCTGAAATTTTAGTGGGTTGTTAATCAAGCAAAATGCTTGCCGACAACGCGCCTCGCCGAGTAAAAGCAGAGCAGGAAGTCAAATTTGCAATATATCTACTAAACATTAAATTTTAAAGCCTCAGCTTACCCCGCTTACATATTAAAATAGTGAGCTTCTAATTCAACATGACAGGACAATATTTTCAAAAATTTATTAAAAATATTAAAATGATTAGAGAATGACTATGGAATTTTTTCCGTGTCAGTATAAATATCCGGTTATACCAAACATGTTTTTTGTTAATATTCACTTATAATAGGTTCTTTATACAAATCCGAAACTCTAAATTAAATACTATACAAAAAGTTGATGCGCTCAAAGGCGCTACGACACGGGCCCACAGATCTAATCAAATTAAGCACCGAAAAGCGCCGAGCAGATTATCTTAAAGGTCGCACAGTAAAAAGGAAACCGTCACGAATTACAATTATTTCACGTTACTTATAAAAACATATAAACGCGCTACACATTTCAGTATGTCCATGATTATGATTTTATCAAAAGTAGTTCGACACTTTTCTCAACGCAGCGCTTAGTGCTAAGCTTGCAGGAGTTTAAGAAGATAAAACTGACGAATAATACGCAGCACTAGAATGTGACAGTAGATCCTTTTTGAAAAAGACACGGATGAACGTAATGCCTATCTGACAGCGTTTTAATTTATTTTTTTATACACACATGTATATTGTATGCCTCCTTTAGCAAATAGAGATGAAACTCCTACACGAATGAGATAAAATTAACATGACGGTTTAAATTAATTTGGATTTTTATAAATTATGGAAGTCAGTGGATCAAACAAAATTATAAAATTAGGATTTCAAAGGGATTAGCGTCAAACCACTCATAATTTACTGTTAGCCTGTGTATTAGGCGTGTGTGAACACACATGCGCGGCTTGAGCATTTTTACAATTTGTTCGGTGTGAACATTTCTTAATCTCTTCTCGCCTTAAAGGGAAAACATGAATTATTCAATGTAGTTTTTATTTACTTGACCACTATAAAAAACAGCTAACGTTTAAAATACAGTTTCCCCATCAGACTTTAATTGATTTATGAAGTGTATTTCAATAACACGTACTTAATAACACATCATAAATTATATTCCATTGTGACTTTGTTTTCTCGGTAACAATGCAATCAAAGTGTGTATTTAACTTGCTCTCAATAAAAGCACATTAATACAATTGTTTTGCAATCAAACAGTTGCAATGCTGGCAAGTAGGTAGGTACTAGGTAGTATGATAAATTGCTTCAGTACCAGTTAAACTTAAGTGTGCGTCAATGTTCATTGATTCTTTAAAATAGAATTGCCTGTAAATATTTTTCTATAAAGCACAGAAAAATAGACCGAGTAAGTATACATTACGATTTTAAGTAATTATTTTTCTTTCAAAGTAATTATTTACTCTATACTTAATCAAAACCGTACTTGCAATAATTCAATTTATTTTACTCTTATAACAGCTTTAAACAAACAAAAAGTAGAGTAAAGGATTATCTTGATATAGTTGTTCCAAAAACTTAACGATATTTAAAAAAATATAAACAATGATCTTATCATATGTGGTATAATAACATATAATTTTATTTCTTAGAAATTCATCGAAAAGAAATAATAATTTCCTTTAATTAATCAATCGTAGCTAAAGTTCAAAGTTTTCGATAATTAATTGGCTTGTATAAATTTGTTAATTACTGCTACTGTGTGTTTTCACTTCTTATCTCAGACAAATCTACAAAATAAACAAAATGAAATAAAGTAAATGCTTCTTTGAATATAGAATTAATAAAGCCAATGATACGGTAGCACGAGGTTTACCTTGCCGAGGTTTAGCTGGCAACCAAGAATATAATGAACTAAAACTACTTACAATAAAATCGCCAATTATGGTCTTTAACAAGCCCGAGCGTTTTGTATTCTCGAGTTAAGCTATCAGGTACAAAGAGCTAAAGAAGACACACTTTTCCGGATCGTTACAATTCTCTAACGATTATTACCGTCTTTGTGCATTCATTAACAATTAAAGAAAACAATTTAAACTTCCATGTTTCAGTTTTAAATTATACAGTTTAATAAATTTTTGCCTTAATTAAACAAGAATTGTAATTAATTCACTAAAACTCAATCGTAACTTAAGTCAATTTAGTCTACAGTTACATCATACAGAGGCAGTCTGACTATCATGGTGGGCATTGCAATTTATAAATGGTAATAAAATGCAATAATAATATTTCTGATTATATTCTAGATTAACTTGTGCGTAAACACTTGGAGTCAACCGTTAGTGTAAGTGGAGTCCGTCTTGATTGGTAGCAGAGTGCGATAGTGATTCACTAATAAAAGATTTTATGTGCATCTAACCTGGTGGTCCAACCGGGTCGGTTTCGTTTTAGTGTTAAATGAATTGTATTTTGAAGAAACCAAACCGTTTATTTCAAGCGAAGAACCCACGTAGGTATCTCTCATTTCATCGAATTATTATTCTGGTTTTTGTCGACACTCGTGTGAGTTCTTCGATTTAATTGAGATCTAGGAATAATTTATTCAAACGTATCCAAGTGTTTTCCGGTAATTATTTTAAATGTTCATTCAGTGCTAGAAAAATAAGAGTATCACTGATTGCTTTAATGTCATGATATGACTCAATTTAACTAGTAAATCTACAATTTATAATCATTTAAAAGATTTTTCTATTCAAGTGTTTTTGACTAAGTAAATGTGCTCCTGATGGGGTTAAACTTGGACCACCAAGTTAAAAAAAAATAAGAAAAAATCTTTTAGATACAATGATTTTAACATTTATAATATTCTCATTTTTTCTATTTTATTAGATTAACTTCTTTCAACGTTGAGTTAAAAATGTTTTCTTAGTCCATAGAATATGGACAAAATTTATTAACAAAACTAACAAAACTAACTCTTTAAATGTTTAAATCATTAAATTGCCTGTGAAAACTTCTAATATTAACATAACCAAATTACTTTTTTCCATTCTTTGCAGTAACATGCCTCAATATATAGGTATAAATATTTTAATTGCTAATTTAACAATTTTCTATAATTTCACTGACTGAGTTTTGAATCATCTTGCATTTACACACGATAACCCTGTGCGTATGCGCTTATTATGGTGCATCAATCTTGTTCTCTCACATTTGTACCCATAACCACAATGGTAATGCCCGCACGTATATCCATGAGCCTAGGAGATCGTAATTAAAATACGAACAGGTATATATGCCGTTTTGCGGCTACGTTTGTGCTCAACGTACGCGCGACCATGGTTTATAGCTATACCTTGAATTTTAGAACGTAGCTGATATACAAATCAACAAGCAGACAAATGCTCACTCTGCGTGCACCTTCAGATCCGTACTTTTGATGAATGTTCCCAACTTATAAAAAATTAAAAATTGAGAAAATATTAAAACACTAACAAATAATAACGTGAATTTTTGTTAAGCAAATAGATTTTGCAAAATAGCAATAGATTGTTACCATCAGACATAAATCCATTGCTGTTGGAATTACAGTTTCGCTTAACATGGCAAACAGGAGAGTTAAATGTTTACATCTCCGTAGAAATAATATTGCAACCGAAGCAGACAAGGCTTATTCGCGGCAAAAGGTAACGAAATTCTGGTACGAACAAACAACGGCTTGAATTGATATAAATTGAAACAACAGTGGCAGACGAAGAATTACATTCTTGCATCACCAAACTCGGCGCGTATGACCGTTATTATGCAGGTACGCAAGCTAATTAAATTCATGCCTCGTAGATAATTAATTTGTTTACATTTTCAAACGTGTGCACAAAATAAATTGGTAAATTTTATACCAAATGTACGAATAAACAACGGGTGCATGTAAATAGGTGCATCGCATCGTGGGCAGACAAAGCCAAACGCAACGGCGGCGCCGGTGGTAGCGGTACGCGGCAAAATAGAAAAGCGGATGCATGTTAACGTGCCATTCATCATGAGAGAAAGCGAACGCCCGTACACGCACTGCGGTTTGATCGCAGTCCTTTTGCCCGTGCGCCACCTCGCCATGTATTTGCTGCGTAGGTCCGCCACTGCGCTCGGCGTAATGAAAAGTTGCGTATTGCGTTTGCGCTGCCTTTGTGTTACTATCAACGAGTACACCTGTACTACATGATGTGCTGCGGTAAACTTCATAGAAGAATAGGGCATGCCGGCCTTTGGTCGGCTTTCAACCACTACGACCAGCGCGGCAAAGTCCAGCACATGAGTGAAATATGAAAATTAAAATAACATGCGTTCTTTTATACGTGCAATTTTATACGGCATATGAGCATGAAGTTTTGGATAGTATATACAAAGGAATACATAAACGTGTTTCGCTTTACATTTTTGATATGTTTATCTTTATTTTAGACAAATCTTTTTTTCTAATATATATTATTAATATTGTAATATAGTATATTGTGCATTTAATATATTGTACCAAAAACAGAACCAATACAAAAAATGTTTTTGATGTCAAATGCGTGTTAGTTTAGGATATATTTACTATAAGTACCAATTAAAACTACTTGTTCTAGTTTGAAAATGCAATTTTTATGTTTTTGATCTATAATGGGTGTGCGGATCTAACATAGTCAGTTTTATGACAAGCTCAACATAAACAGAATTATCTATTTCTAATTTTGCGCAATTTTTGCTTCTGTACGAGTTTACATGAACAAAATATAGTAAAATAATATCAGTGGTTTTAAATTTCAGAATTAAAGCATATTTGGAAACATTACGTATATTCACAGTAATCCTGGAAGTACATTGGTACATGGTGTAGAAATTACAGAGCGCTTTGCGTTTTTTCCGATGTGCATGCACGCATGCTTCGTGCATCTCCAGGCTTTTTTAGATTCTAGTTGGAGCGCGTTACTGTTAATTATAAACACATTCGTTTAATTTATCGCATCTATAGAATAAATAGTGCACAGTGTTGGCGTAGATTTTTAAACCAAGTGTTGAAAGTTGAGTATAATATGCCTATGTATTAGTTTCAAGTTTTTGCTAAAACACTTAATCTATTTGTTATATTAAGTAAAAAAGTGAAAAATATTTTTTTCGACTTCTACCTTTAAAGCCACAGTTTTTCTACGGTTTTGAGACACAAAAAGTTGTTTTTTTTTTAACACGGATGGGCTAGGCCGTGACTAAAGTATTTTATAATCATACATTTTCTAGTAGAATGCAAGCGAATTTCGAAGATTTATACTCATGTATAAATACAAATACAAAAACTTCAACGTGGAAATAGAGTGGAAGTAGAAAAATAGCGTAAGCATCACGTAGCTAAACTTTATTAAACACTCGATTAAATAATCAATATCGTGACTAAAACTCGCGTTTATCCCCGTAATACTTAATATACTATAAATAAATTAAATTCTAATCAAATTGATATAAGTTAATTTTATTTTTGTATGTTTTATCTACATATTAATGTGACTTAATTAAATATGTCTACATATATATACAATTGCTCAATAATGCTCGTGCTTCAATAATTGGGATGCATTCAAATTTAATTAACTGATTCAGGTTTAATGAAGTTAATGAAGCAATCAAATTTATTATTTACGTCTATAGTCTTTGGTGGTCGGTAAAGTAATTTTATAATATTATGATACATATTTTAGTGTAAGGATTTTATGACATCTTAATTTAAATTTTATATTGAAAGGATTATTATGATATTAATGAATTTTTTGTTTTTATTATCTAACCTTGACATTTCTTATGTAGTGAATCAATTCAATTTGATTTAATTCGCAATAATTGAAAGAAATTTAATAACATGATGACAGAAAATTATACAAAGAAAATAAATAAATAAAATCAACCTATTACTTTAATTCTAATATCAAAGATTAATGTATATTAGAACGTATATAAAGTTTCACAAAAAAAATTGTCCAAACAATATTTTGATTCACTTTTATCCTAGAGTAGATTCTGTTTATATCAAAATGAAGGGAGCGCCGCCGCAAATAGGATTTGTTTTAAAAATTTTAGATTTTGTAAAAATTAATCCGTATAAACAGACCATATATACTCGAGTTTATCAAGTAATTGCATTTATTATTTCTGCGTACGTAGTGGTAATGCACTTGATGGAAATAACTTTGAATTTTAATGGGGTTGAAACTGTTGGCAAAATGCGTTTTACACCGTGCATCTTGATAGTGAGTATCTTTTATTTATATCATAAGTATAATTACCTAGAGTAAATAATATAACTTTATCTTCAGAAAAATTATCAATTTGTGTTCTATGCGATAGCAACGGCAAAAATAAAAAAACCGTTTGATCTTCTTGAAAATTTATGGCCATGGGACAAATTTGGCACATCAGTTGGCCAAAAAATGCAATCCATTAGTGACAAATGGTACTTTTTTATAAGATTTTACTTTTGGTTAATTGCAAGCAATGTTAGTATAATGATAATAGAACCATATCTAATGCCCACGCCAGACCTCATATTCGATCAGTACGATTACTGCGATATGGCCAATAACACAATTTGCTACCACATTAACTTTATTATATCGGCTGGCCAACTTGTTTTTATCTACGTTCCAGTTGTATTTGCGTTCGATTTGTACTTTTTGGCATTTGCTGCACAAATTTTTATTCAATTTGAATTACTCAAAGTTGCCCTACGAGATTCTAAAGTGGAAAATTACAATCGCAACTTAATTAAGGACATTGTAGACCAACATAATGTAATCATTGAGTAAGTATAAATTTAATAATTTATACCTTAACTATACGTCAAAATATTGTTTTGTTTCAAGATTTGTAAAATCACTCGATTCGTGGATGTCAAATTTATTTTTGGCCAAATACATGGGATTTATGATCCAAATGATCGGCGCCTTGTACATGCTCACAATCTACGGGTAGTTGAAATGGATTGCATGATTGATTGAGAAAAATATCAAAAATACATTTATTCCAGATTGCCACCTTCTCTGATGGACATAAAAACTTATGGCCTGCACTTCGTGACAGTGGTGCTAATGACCTACATGTACTGCTACGGCGGTGCCGTTATTTATGATCAAGTAAAACTAATATTTCTATCAAATGAGGTGCGCTTCTAACATGATTAATTAATTCATGCGCAGAGTTTGAGTGTAGCCGAGGCGGCATACTCCATGAAATGGGACGAAAAGGGACAGACGTCGCTACGTAAGGACGTGGCGTTCATTATTTTGAGGGCACAGAAGCCGGAACTTTTCACTGCTGGCTATTTTCATTTAAACATGGAGGCATTCGTCAGAGTAATTGTTTTACATCATATATATAATTAGTTGATAAATAATATGACTTTTTTCAGGCAATGCAAAATGTGTTTTCGGTATATGGGCTTTTAGCAACATTAGCTGCTGATGAAATAATGGCTAAACAAATATCCAAAGAAATTATACGTAGTTAATTATTTACGCCACTTTTACTGAGTTTTTATGCACTAATGTATTTTTTAAATTGTTGTATGAAGTTAGGTGGTTTTTATGCACTAATCAATAAAGCATTTACGACTATTGATTCATATAAATAATTTCGGCATTCATGAACCATCTTTAAAAATATTTTTTGTCCAATTACAGTAATTTATGATAATTTAGGTGCTTCCAATTATTTCTAAAAATCAATATCCCAATTTACTGATCTTTATCCTGTCAGTCAAACAGTTTACCTAGTACGTTTAGATCATAAGAATCACAACCAACGCAATGTCTATCGACGTTTCAAGGTTAAACGATAGAATTGTGTTGCCACCTCAAATAAATTTGGTGAAAAATTTATGTCCTTGGGATGCATTAATCCGTATAAACAAAACAAATTCACAAAAATTTTTCACATCGTAGGAATACTCTGCAGTGGGAGTTTATTGCTACTCTCGATTTTGGAAATAGTACTCAACTGGAAAGGTATTGAGAGTTTGACTAAAGCTGTATATTTACCAGGAATATTTATTGTGAGTATTGTATTATAAAATCATGCCTGTTGGAGTGTTTTTACGATTATTTCAGCTTTTCTGGGAATTTGTTGTATTCTCGCTTAAACACAAAGACTTCAAAGCACTTTTAGAAATAATGAACGACTTTTGGCCATGGGATAAATTCGGACCGGTTTTGGAAAGTCGAGTTCAAAAATTCAGCAACAAAGGATATTTTTTAATTAAATGCTTCGTTGTTATGATCTTCTTAAATTGCACGAACATTGTTTTGACCCCATTGCTCACACCTGGGCGAAATTTGCCTTACGTCCAATACGATTTCTGCAATATGCAAACGGACGTGTGTTACATCGGCAATTTAACATTTCAATTGTTGAATTTAATTTTTACCCAATTGCCAGTTCTAATGGGCTTTGATTTGCTGTTTTTATCATTTGTAACTCAATTATACATCGCTTTTGAACTACTTAACGCAGCTTTAGATCAAAGCTCCCTGTCAGCAGAAAATCATTATTTGTTAAAAGAGATTGTGGATCAACATAATACGATTATCAGGTACCAATAAATATTGTTTCATTGATAGTAGGTATATAATAGTACAATTGTTTAACATTGACAAATTTTCAGTTTTGTCCAATTGTACGCTTCATTAACATCAACAATATTTTTAATAAAATTCACTACGTCACTAGGACAAATAATATTTAGCTTGTATATGTTAACAATTGATGGGTGAGTGGTGGAGTTATCGAAATATCCTTCAGATACTCAATACAATATATTTTTCAAATAGGTTACCTCCAGATAAGGAACACATTAGTAATTATGGTTTATTAGTAAGTTCTTTAGTAATGATGATATACATGTATAGCTATGGTGGAACATTAATATACTCTCAAGTAGGTATCAAATTTATTCATTTTTTGTCCAACGCTAACAGAAATTATTTGTAGAGTTTGAGTGTCGCCGATAAAGCATTTGAAGTCAAATGGTATTTAAAAGGACAAACAAATTTACGAAGAGATTTGTCCTTCATTATTTTCAGAGCACAAAAAGCCCAACAAATTAATGCAGCTCATTATAGAGTTGACATGGATGCATTTATTGGGGTAATATTTTAAATAATTTATTTTTAACCTCCATTACACATATTTTTGTATAGCGTTGTATAGCGTCTGAAATTTATCAGATTAAGTAAAATTTAATTGTAGTGATCATTTAATCAGAATATTTTTGTTTTATTCCAGACCATTAAAAATGCTCTCTCTGTATACACATTACTCATCAAACTATCAAACGAAGAAGAAAAATAAACTTTTTTTTTATTGAAAACGAGTTTCTTTTGTAAATAAGTTGTTGAAATTCTGATCGTGTCAATAACATATTGGTTTCATTATATTCCAACCGATTATCCAGCCGAGTGGTCCACTGTCATGTATCATGATACATACAACGTAGGGTTTCCCCAATTGAAGATGCTTTAAACGCACGAAACATCTACGATGTGGACCGCGAATTCGCCGACAGACAAGTCGAGCAGTTCGTATCGAATTTTTTGACAATTGCTTCGAAATTGGTTCCTCTTCAACTCCAAGTTCTAAGACGACAGGGCGTGTAATAAAAACGAATTAGGCACGTTCCATAGCACTGCGCCACGGCGAAGCCAGCAAGACTGCCTTGTCGACGACATGTCTTCATCATTACAAATTGTTTCACAAATTGTTTTATCTCAACGGCGACGCTCCAGGGTTCAGCACCACCAAAGCTAAAAAAGTTACACAATTCAGGGTTTGGTTATCGCGTCGAAAGCGAAAGGAATAAGTTAGATGTCGTTTTGATTTCGCATCACGTATGATTTTAAATGGTTAAATGCTACTCTGTGACAATTTAATTTCTTTAAGTTTATTATATCGTATAGCGTATTTCTTGTACACAGCATTCGTTGTTGATGTTGTAGGCTATTTCATAGTAGCTAAGAATGTTTTATCTTTAGATCTGTAATACTGGTCAATTGAAACGAACAATAAGAAGATTAATTAAGAAGTTTACGTTCCTCGAGACCACCAGGTGTGTAATTGTTACTTGTTTGATGTCGGATTGGAGGATGGAACAGCATGAGTGCAATGTAACAATTATGATCCAATGGCAAGGTCATTTTATAGGTAATTGGTTATTTAGAATTACGTTTGCAATTACTGTGGTTATTGCTATTGGGTGCTCTTCATTACTTAAATTGAATTGAATAAGAAGCCACAGCGCAGAAAAACGATTGATTCTTAGTCTGTCTTTATGATATTGCAATTCCAAGGGTGAAAAACTAACCGTCAGTTAATGGTATTAGCAAAAACCTTTCTTTTATGTTAAATATTTCAATAACAAAGGACGTTTATCTTTAGCCGGGGTAATTTAATTAAGGTTAAACCGAAATTGATTCCATGCAGGGTTAGCCAAGTAATGGTCAAATAAATGCTTGAACTATTTCCATTTTGGGTTTAGCGAACAAGAACACATATTAACTGCCACTTTATAGATTTTCGATTGCTCACCATTAAATGAAATTAAGAGAAGGTGGAAATCGTAAAAGAGACATGAAGTAAAAAGCTAAATCACGTGCAGGTGTGTGTGGTATATTTCGATTCAATATAACTACGTATTCTGTTATGGAATAAAGTTAAATAAAATCTGATGATAACGTAATCGATAATGTAATTTATCAAAATTTATATTCAAGATTCTCATTTTATATTGACCAATTTTCTTTTTGTTTCGTTAAATAGCACAATAAATTAAACAAAGGATATGATACCCATTAGATTAAAGATCAAAGCTCTTATCACACATATTTGCAAGATCAGTAAGTCTTGTGATATAACCTGCAATTCTTTCCATTTCACTGCGGTTCAACCTGAGACTCTAGATGCTCGGAATTGTGTGGAATACTGGGAGCATAACAAGTGGACGGTGGAAGCTGAGTTTGATACTTGCAGGTATTTATTGATAGGTGATACCTATTGATAGGTAGCCCAGGTTGAGCTGATTTTGCCGCTGACCGGTCATTCTTGATGGAGGGTTAAACGTGCCGTGCATAAACTGATTCTATTTTCTTTTCTTTTTGAACGTCTACAATATATACAGTAAATCAATATACCTACCAATACTTCCAGACTTTTTTAAATATTTTCTTAAGACATTTTTGCTAAGACCCACTTTAATCAAACGGATAATGTGGAACCATGCTTTGCTGATCGGAAAAAAAATTAAAACATGATATTGGATGTTTATAGGCAAAGTACATATGCTAGATCGATACAATTTTTCCTAAAATTAATGTGAAAATCAAAAAAAAAATCGGGGTATTTATGAAAGAGTAGTAATCGATAAGATTATTTGTCAAGCTACTGCATTGATATGTTAGCATCTCAGGGCTTAGCAAAGATGGTCCGCAGTAGATTTGGAATTTAATTCACGTCCATTATCTTCCAATTCTTATATAATTTAATGCAGCCATGTGAAATGAACGAGAAAATAAGAAATTGAAATTGGTAAAGCTGCTATTGGAAGCTACTGCTGCTCTTACGATTACATTCTCATGTTTCACCAATACAAAAACGTATCATTTTGTGCAACCCCAAACAAACAAGAATCAATTTTACGCCAAACCTGATGTCTCATTCAACTTAGATTGAAATATACAAATACCTGCAGATTTCTAGATGCAATATCTTTCCTTTAAAAAGATGCAAATCTAATCATAATTGCGTTTGAGGCTGAGGAGTGCTTCTTACGACTGGCTGGTTATTTCTTTTACGGCATTGCGAACTGTTTGTTCTCAATGTACTACTTTTCCAAACCCCAAATTATCTAATGTATTTGTAATTTCAAACCGAATGCAATTTAAAAGTTTCGACTAAATATTATGAAATTTATAGTGGTTTTACATAAGTGCAATGATGTTTTTATCAATTGCAATAAAGGTAAACAAATGAAGGTAAATTTACCTTAAAAATTAATCATTTAATTTGTAGAATTGGTATGGCCATCTGTCCGTCAAGTACAGAAACATAAATAAATGGAACCTGCAACTGCATGGATCAATACAGAGACTACGTTACGTTAAGATTTCTCTTCAGATGTCGCATGTATTATATTACTTTAGTATTTTGTATCAAATTTTCATTTGAGTTTTTGAAGTTACTGAGGATGCCTAACGGACAAAATATCTATACGTGGCAAAGCATTTCTTCGTTTATCTGTACACTACCTTTGTTGTTTGTGTGATTGTGATTGAGAAATGAGCCCTTGAGTTTGAGGTAGTTTTGTATTCAGATAATGCAGTGAAGAGGTAAAACGCAATTTCGATGTAAAAAGGAAAAAAATATTCAAGTACTTCATCTACTCACATTTTATTTGAAATATTCTTTTAAAATACATATTTTTAGCACATTTGTGAATTCAGTTTTAAGTTTATTTCTTCCTTATGTAACTTATAACTTATATCCGCCAAGTTGCACTGAAAAAGGAATTGGACCAATATAAAATAAAATGTAGCTATTCCGCTTATAATTTTCATATAATTTTACTCTTTATGCAAAGAAATTTTTCCACAAAAGTGAATTGGATGTCACAAGGGCATCGGAGCATGAGGATAAGCCGAATAGCCTCCGTAGCCGTAATGCGAGGGACCATAAGATACCGAATGATGCACATTATAGCCTGGGTAGCCGTAGCTTGTTGTATGATGGCCATAAGCTGGATAACCACCCCATGCATGATGGTAACCACCGTAACCACCATAACCAAGACCGTAGCCACCATAACCACCGTAACCATCATAGCCACCGTAACCGCCATAGCCGTAACCATAGCCTGGATATAATAAGCCGGGGTATGCAACGGTGAAAACTACCAGAAACAGCAACACCAATAACTTGAGCATTTTGATTGTAAAGTTAGAAACTGAATACCGCAGTTTGCAAAAACCTGACCTTATATACCATTATTATTCGTATTGAATTACTACCTCCAATTTAACTTAGGGCGGAGCATAATAGCTAGAGGGTTGGCGTAAACCAGAAGGTGGTGATGTGGGCGGTAGCTACGTCACAACACTGATAAGGATATTGGGTCAGCCCACATGTACACTAAAGAATAGTATTAATAATAATTTAAGTAATTTGAGCAATTTGAATTTCATAAATGTAGGAAAAGAGTTCAAAATTAACATAACAGGGGTGCTAATTTCAATTCAATAGAAATCAGCTGTAGGAAGTAATAAAATATTTACTAATGTTGCCAATTATAAATCAAATACTACTTTATTAATCATACACATTTTTGCATAAAATAATATATAAAAGCATGCTGTTAATTATAGTATTTCATATATTTGTCGTTTTATCTTATATCTGCACATTGTTTTATATCGTGTCAGAATCATGGTGGTTTGTAAAAATATAATTTATAAGTCAGTTATTGTTGGATACTATTTATATCCTCTACCAGATTGTTAACCAGATCTTCGACTGGTCCCGGCATTATCATTTGAAGCCACCACAGTTGTTACGAACGGATTAGCATAGGATGCATGAACAACGGGGGTAACATAGTTTCCCTTGGTGTTGACAGTTGATTTTGTTGTAAAATGCACAGTACCACCGCCGGAAACAGCGCCGTAATGAAGGGGAGTGCCATAAGCTCCATAACCGCCAAAGGGTACCGGATGATGAAACATGCCTGGGTAACCACCTGGGTAACCACCAACCACCATGTCATGATGAGGAATGGCCGGAAATCCACCATAACCACCATAGCCACCTGGAAAGTAGCCAGGAAAGTAACCGGAGATAACAGCCAACAGAGTATACAACACCAGGAACAACTTAAGCATTTTGTGCGATGGCGTTGGTCTGTCTTGCCGCCGATATAAAAACTGAATGCCCTTATCAGCGAAAAGTATAACTTTTATACCAAACACTCTTTCTCTTTCTCATTCAAACTACTATTGTATAGGTGATATCGGTACCTCATATACCGATGATATGGGACTGGGCGAATGCGTGATGAGTATATATTTATCAATAGTGGGAGATTTGGGCGGCAGCAAAGTTGGTTAAACCTGTTAGGGGAGTGGGGTGGGCTTAAGTGAATTGATTGATTTGATGCATTGTATTGAATGACCAGATCATAAGAAAATCATAGAAACTTATTTCTAAAAGTCTAAAGTCTATAAGTATCTACATTTCACGTATTAAGATGGTCATTATGTTTAGTAATAATTGAAAAAATAAATTTAAAATATTTTTATATACATTTGAGTAATGTATGCAAATTTTCATCAAACAAATTCAGAAATACATTTTTTAAAATGATTCAATATACAATTGTGGCAATTTTACCCAAAGAATTAAAGACTATTCAAACTATAAGATAAAATACGAACGTTCTCTGAACGGATTTAAGCACCGAGTTATACTGCGCAGTTCAATTATGGAGATCAGCATTGATTACTCAATCAGTTGAAAATTAGCAATTGAGATAGTCATGAATGCATGATTGCTCGGTTGCAAATTGTGAATTGAAGTAATACGCCCGCCACTTTGTGACGAATTTGATATAGGTAACCCCCAAAACTACTTTTTCGCTTTTGAAAATCTCCATTCAAAATAGAGCAAGAACCCGATATAATTCAGTTGTTCTATTGTTTCCTATTAATGAACTCAAAATTTAAGTATTACTTTCAGCAAACAAATAATTTATGTAATATTTATATGTGTCAGAAAGAAATGACATCTGCTTCTATGAACAGATATATAGACTTAGGTTGTAACTTCAAAAACAGATGTCGTAAACATGCAAAAAACTAATTTTAAATGTGTTTAAATTGCTTTTTGTAAAGTTCTTGTTTGACAATGTATTCCTCAGCAATAATGAATGCAATAACTACATTAGCATTTTTCAGATATGTGCATTGAAAACTTTTTCATATCACAGTTTATTTGAAACAAATTTGTTAAAATTTTGCATATTCTAAATTGACGTCTATCAAATTCGAGAACCTTAACAAAATTAGTATATTAATGAAAATTTATATCAGAATTCATGATAATTACTTTTATAAAATGGTTGTATGAGATTCGAAAAATGTCCTCTTTATACTTTGCTATTCAGATGAAGCTTTTGTTATGATCCAAAAAGAAACCTCGTAAGAAATGCAGATATTTATAATCAGAAGTGAGAATATTTATTTCTCACCTTGAATGTACGTATTGTTTTGATACATTTTTAGTGAAATAGATATTTATAGTAGTTTATAGTTTATAGTTTTGTTAAATTGTTGTTAAATATTGATTGCTATTTTATTTTAGTTTGAATAATACTAAATTGCCAGTGATCTAACAACCGCATATAAATAACACAAGCAGTAATCAAATTTAAAGTAGTTTCTATTAATGAAGCTGATAAGCTTATATATTTGCATATTTTAATATCGGAAAGAAATACTGTGTTTTTGTATCTTTTTTTTAACACACAATATTTACTGCAATTTACTGTTTTTTTTAATGTGAACTCGAAATTTCTATAAGTCACTAGCCGTCCTTCAGTTTGATTCTTGATTGTCACATATGCAACTGCACCAAAAATTCCGTTTCCCCTTGATAAAATTCAGATTGCAGTTATTTAAAGAGATTTGTCGCCGATTTTAAATCACAGTTGAAGTCTTTGCATAGCCGAACACAGAGCACTTGATATATAATGTACAAGTTGTTGGTGTTCGTATTTACCGTTGTCGGTTGTAATGCTGGTGTGTTACATCATGGATACACCGCCCAAATTCAAAGTTCTCCTGTGATTCAACAATACTTGACGGAAGAACATGTGGTTCCTGTAGCTCAACAACAAATTCTATCCTATGCTGCTCCAACCACTGTTGTGGAATCTCCACTTGTCTATGCCGCTCCTGTAGTCAAAAAACAAGCTTCCAAGCCACGTCAACTGCAAACACGGAAGCAAAAAATTGACAAACCTGCTCCAGAATCGTTCAGTTATCAAATTAGAGTGCAACATGCTGAAAATCCACAACATATTGAGGAAATTCAAGAACAACCTGAACCAATTCCACAAATTCAACCCCTTGTTCAACACTTTGAATACCAACCACTGCAAACTTATCAATTCCAACAAATCCAATTAGAAGAACCTCAGCCTGTCCAGAAACCTCGTGCGCAAATTCGTCGCCCTCAGAAGCTCGCAAGAACCCAAGTTCAACCTCCACCACCTCAAACCAAAGCAAAAAATGCTGATCTGGCTACAGTCCAACTTCCACAAATTGGTGACATTCAGTACACGTACACTCCAGTAGTATATTATTTTCAAGATGTGAATGCTGGTCGTCGTGTCTACAAGCGACCAGTTCAACCACAACCTCAACCGGAAGAGGAGGAGGAAGAACAGCAGGAAGGAGGGTTGGAAACCTTAGAGCGCTATGAAGCTGAAGATGATATTGAGGATGATTATGAATCCGAAATCGTTGTGGCTCGTGTGCAACCAAAGCAGCAAGTTTCAAGGAGTCACACCGCTCAAAACTCTGCTCAATTGAATGTTAACGGCGTATCTTATGACAGTCCATTATTGGCTTATCAATCTTTTAACGCTGGTTGGTAAAAACATCCAGTTCTGTTCATTTTTTTTACATTTTGCATTATCTAAACTTCTTTTTCAAAGTTCCTCATTATACTTTTTCTTATCTTTAGTAATTCTGTGGTCTATGCTTAGCAATTTCTTCAACCTGCTTTATTTTATTTAATACTTGAAAATTAATTTTGCATACAATTTTGATAATGAAATAGCTACGTTTGCAATTGTAAATATATTCATATTTAATTATGATCATCAATAAATACAAAATATAAAAAAATATTTGATATTCGATATTTCATGTAATTACATTTTTTTAAATTTTAAGAATTTGTAGCAAAATCTCGTTTTCTACACCTTAACTGTTGATTAAATACGTGCGTAAGTCAATAACCTCATCAGGACGCAGCATGCGGTCAAATTGTTGAAGTATATTTTATGACTTTGTATGTACATAGTGTAAGCGTGAAATCAGCCTTCACCTTAGCCTCAATTTTCTACTTACGCAAAAGTGAATCTTACATCAAAAATGAACCTTGCTTGCATTTAAACGAATGTAGGTATGCAATGCAGCATGTGTTACCGGAGAAATTTCTTCATTCTTGTAATGCATGGTTGAAAGTATGCACATATAAATTAGATAGCTGCAATTGTTGTTTGGTTCATTATATAATATGCGTGTTCAAGATTTAATTTGTAGGGAAATTCGTGAATTTTAATGAATTTCTTCAGAATTAAATATCAACAAAATGTTATTATAGCAAATCCTACCATATCCAATTTGTATATTTGCTTTAAGTTCTAATAAATTTTTTTAAGAAAAACAATTGTAAGGGCGAAGGGCGTTTGCTAAAAAACTATTAACTACAATGCATGTATGAAATAAAATATCAAAGTATTCAGTCCGAAATATTATAATTTTAATATATTTTCACAGTAATTTTTTTGTACATTTTGCCCAATTTTTAACAAATTGCCATAATGATTAAGCTTTATCGAAATCTAATTTAGTAAAGGCCGTGGTAACCGTAGCCGTAGCCGTGAAGTCCGTAGCCGTAAGCGGCAACAGCTGGGGCAGCATGGACGACTGGAGCAGCGTAGGCAGCATGAACAACGGGCGCGGCAACGGCGGCGTGTACAACTGGAGCTGCAAGAGCGGCGCTGTGGACGACAGAGCTGCTTTGGTGGCTCACGGAAGTGGGCACGCTACCAACAACAGCGGCGCTGTAGGCCAATGGGGCATGGAGGTAGCCTGGGGCGGCGGCGGCAACGGCCATCAGAGCGAACAACACCACCAACTTGAACATTTTAATTTGTTGCTTGAGGTCTGTGTTGTCGAAGAGACGAGAACTGAATGCTCTTACCGACGAAAACTGGAACTTATATACCAAAAATTTTCGTCATGCTCACGAGTTTTTGGACTCCTTGTCCAAGTCTGGTTGTTGTTGTTATTTTTCACCTTGAAAGCTGACGAGAGAGGCGCTTTTAACGAGTGGTGGACTATACGCACGCAATAACACATTGTTGTGATTGGATGACTGGAGAAAAGAAACGAGTGTTGATATCGTTTGCGAGCAATTCACGGAAATCAAACACTACAGGTTTTGGACGGATTTAAAAATGATTAACGCACGATTGAATTGTGGCTGGGTGTTAAGTTACGTAGGCATGAACAAAACCAACATTGAGGATTGTCAATCGTCACATAAAAATGTTTATATTACATTGATAATTATTAAGTAATACTGGAGTAATATTAAATTTGTTTGCTAGATAAATAAACTGTGTATGGAATATAATATTTCTTGTTAATACATAATTTGCATTAAATCATAAGTACTTCTTAACTTACATTATGAGGTATATATTACATTATCTCAAATAACCTGCTGTAATTTAGTGCCTAAACAAAAAAATCAGATTGTATTATAGCAAATTAAGGTACTTTGAATTAAATTCAAACTATATTATTAATCCACTTTGCTATTAGTCCTAATCAATTTAATTCTGAAAATTTCACAACTCAACTTTTTTTGAATGAGCGCACCATTAAATCATTTTCCGACTTATAACATATGCAACTTAAAATGCACCTTGGTATAGTCGCTTTGTAATAAATTGTGGATCAACACTCGCCAGTAACGGTTATTTTTACTGCAATACAAAATAAAGCAAACAAGATATTCTAAACATTATATTATATATGCTGTCATATTAAAATAAAAGTTTTCTTAACATATATTGTATCAAATGTTTTACTAGTCGCAAATTCGCGTATTTTCTATTAAATTGAATCACATTTTTTTATTTACTTTTAAAATAACGTATATTTTAAGTTAATGCAGTAAAAAAATACATAAAGAACAAAGTAACTACTGTTGAAGCAAAGCATACTTTTATACACTTCCAGTAGTTCCGTTTAAGAATTGTTTAGTCATAATTACGCAGCAAAAGCTGTAATAATTACTAAACATGACTAAAAACCGTTTAAGATGTTGTCTGCAAACACAACAGACAACGCACTAATTTTTATGATTGCAAAATGTACAAAACAACTTGTATTCATATCGGACTACGCGCAGAAACAAAAGATTAAATAAGCATTGATATATCTCACGCAACTGTAACTATATTTGAGTGCGTTACAGCGAGCGCATAATTAGAATACGAACAACAATAACAGCAAAGAAAGATAACGTTTTTTATGTTTATCATTTGAATATACATACATATTTAAATCAGAGCACAGACAAGTGCATACCTGAAACTTAAATATCACATTATTTGTCTGCGCTACAATGTATGTAACCCCTATGTAACCAGCAGTGTGCAATTGCACACTTTTATTCGCTTTTGTTTTAGTGAAGTGCATAATAAGCGACTTGAAATAAGTGGATCAGTGACATCGAAAATGAAATGGAAAACGCGCGGCGTAACACATAAAAACAAACAGTACTGAATTCGTAACAAACACAGTACAGTATTTAAATATTTGGTAAATTTACAACCACTGCCAGTAGGTTATCAAAATTTTATACTACCTCACTTACACATTTCTTGAAATGATTGTTGCATACTTTATAACATTTTTCAGTCATTGGTTAAATTTATTTTCATTTTATTTTCATTAAAATTGACAGATGTTGATTGCTTTATTAAATTAATGATTTGTTGGTCCGTGCCCCAAGATGTAATACCATCAGCGTTGAATGCTTGTAAGTACCAACCAAAGAGATTATCAGAGCGTTACATTAATGTGATCTTGTCTTCTCGGGCAAGGAGATATGTACTATACTCGTACTGCGCGACCTGGAAGCCCCAAGATCATATTGATTACACAACTGCAACCATTCATTTTTTTAAACATTAAAAACTTGATAAGCTATTAGCGTGTGTTAAGATTCGCAAAATTAGCATTAAGATTCCAAAACTATTACTTATTAGTGAATTAGCTGTAGATTATATGCAGATAGTGCATATTAATAATAATAATGTACACCGTGCGTTTTTCAAAATTATAATTAACTACACTAATAAGTCTTGCACAAAATTATAATGAAGTACTATATCTTCTTTAATTAAATATAAAATTAACTAAAGTACTTAACATTTTGAACTGAGTTAATGTCGCAGTGACTTAAACAACATAAAAAATAAGAATGCGTCGTAAACACGATTTAATCCAGCGCAATTATTATTGTTCGACAGCCCAAGAAAATACAGCATTATTTACGTGATGCAAATTTATGGACACAAAATAAAATAAGAAAATAATGAAAAGTGAACCGTGTGATTGTGTTGCAACATTATACTATGTGATAATTAAAATTGTTACTCTGATTAATTAATGAAAAAAAGGAGCTTATAATATAACACCGTATGGAAAAAATGTAATAAATGTCACAGTAAAACTGCTAGCAATGACTTTTTTGGCAAGACAATAAAAAATTGCCATCTGGTTTAAATTGCCTAATTTTATATAGAATGTGTTCAAAACTTACAAAATTAGGGATATGACAAAATTTAAAACAACTTTTGTCATTATATGTTACCTTTTTCTTAACGTATTTTTAATAACCGACTTCATAAAACTGTTGGGCGTATGCAAACGGCAACTCTAAAATCACCAAATAATTCAACATACATAATTTGAACAACCTTGCCTGATACACTCAACCTTCAGTGCATAAACATCCGCTGATTCGATTGTATTGCTTCTATTAAGCGCTTTTTACTTATAGATTTGCGTGCAGCAATAACTTGCAGAACTCAGTTCACTTGAGCACGTATTGTAGTAGTTGGTAGTTATTTTTATTTATATCGACTCCGTACAAACTTGTTTCCTGATCACGCTAAGAGAAAATTATGAACTTCAATTAATATAATCAATTTTGGTTCGAGGCTTGTAATGTAATTAATTATAAATTCTATTTTTTGCATAAATTTGAATAAGTGTATTTAGTTAAATAATTATATACGCATGTGGCGTTTGGTGGTTTTTGGTAATTAATTATAAACTTTTAATACAATTTATGTGAATAGTGATTCGAACATGAATGCCATTTATAGCAATAATTGGATTTGCAAAAAGTGTATCACAATGACTTTCAAGGTTTATCATGTTCTCAAATGTTATGTTTTTATTATTAACAACAGGAAAAATAAATCAACATTGTTATTGGGTGTTTTATTTTCAGATGCGTAGTAAACCAGGCATTCACAGAAATATAATTGCATATAAAGGAATTTACAAGATAATAATAAATTGTTTCAAACTAATTACCTACATATTATATTATGTACGAAGTAGTGTACCTACATGTAATGGTTTTCAGCCCTTGCACCCCAAGTCAAACAAATTTTAACAACATTTAAATTAAATTGAAAAATGCAACTAAAATAATTAAATAATTTTTTATCTTTGTTTTCGAAAACTTAATTCTTGTTTTAAATTTTATTACATTTTATTTTTACGAACAAATGAATTATAATGTAGCAATTGCTGAACTGCAAAAAAATACGTTTAATATTTTCAACTACAAGTTATAATTATTTTGTTGATAATGAAATAAAATTATTTATTTTTTACTAGGTAATAAATTAAGACAAAAATATTTAGTTTTATAAAAACAGCATAGTATATTTTTATAACATTTTCACATTGTTTTATACTTTTTATAAACTTTTTACAAAATGAATATTTACAATATCTATACAAATAAATACAAAAAGGGACGGCAAGATCATGTATACATCAGACACCACCAGAACAGAATTCTATAAGTACCTACTCAGCCTGAGCCAAACAAGCTGACCAGTGTAGCTTAAACTAATTCAATTCTGGAGAACTTATCAATCTCATAGCACTGTGTTTTAATAATGTCCGTAATGACCATAAAGTCCATGATGGCCATATCCAAGTCCGTAACCATGTCCGTATCCCAAACCATGACCATAGTATCCATGTCCATAACCATGACCGTAGGAGACAAGAGGAGCTGAATGCACATCATATCTGGAGCTGTGGGACACTGCCGCAGGGATGATAGTTTTCACAATTGGGGCGTACGCCTTCACGATGGGTGCATGAATGATGGGCGCATGGACAATGGCTGGAGCGGCAGCGACCACAATCGGCTTGCTATGAATGTCAATCCTGGAGCTGTGACTTGTTGCCACTGGATAAGCAAAGTCGTGATGAAGAAAACCAGGTTTGGGAGCAGCCTGGCAAACGACCACCATTGCTACGAATACGGCCAACTTGAACATTTTTACTGATTTATTTTGCCGGGTGAATTTGTGTTGTTGGATTGCTGATAGCTGACTAATGCTCTTCGGGCACTCGCTGTTCGTATTTATACTTTGCTGCGTGGCTGTGGCATACGCCTCGGCTGAAAGAAGTGAGAAACGCAAGGCACCGTTTATTACACAATTACGAATTGCGTCTCTGTGAATGAGTAATATTGCAATTGTGTGAAAATTATACAGGAGGACGCGGCAACGCAAGACCATTATTTAATCAAGGTAATCGCTGCCATCGACCGAGTGAAAATCACGGTATGCAAGTAGAACGAAAACAAGAGCAAGAGCAAGTTACCAAATACACCAACAAAACTATTTCATAATTAATGCGCTCGCAATGGCAGTAAACGAGCAAATTTTATATTCAAAATGTTCAATGTGTCTGTAGTTCTGCCAGGCGATGTTAGCGCATTATTATTCATTACAAAATTTTTAAATTTTGAACTTGGAATGTGTTGCTTAGGTAGAGTATTTTTTTAATAAATAAAACTAAAGTGTGGTCACGCATTGTTGGTCACAGCATTGGCGAGTATTTCACATACTTGCCTGGACGCTCGGACACGTTTAATTCAACGTTCGTGTAATTGCAGTTCATGTAATCGATGAAATAGATCGTATGCATAAATATAGCCTCTGCCTTCAAATCTTAAACGTACCGATAAACTGTTCAAACTGCAGTGGTGGCTTTATTTATTAGAAAAGTATTGAATAAAATCTATTTATATCCCAAAATGATTGCCTGAAATTTTGCCATTTTAAAATTTAATAGATATTCATCTAACTACTTAAAAATTTAAATATACTACATACTAAGTAAATCTGTCAGTGATGGTATGTATCTCCATAAATGGCGTTGACTTCTGCAATTTATGTTCACTACGTTTACGCGATTCCAAACTAATTCAATTTTGTACCTGCACGCATATCTTTACCGATCGTTTCATCATTTCGTTCAATTAACATTGGGCCTTGGAATAATTGACTTGGTATTTCATGCTCTAATCCATCTGTAAATTGATTACTTATTAAGCGCTTCAAATTTAAATACATGCCACTTTATAACGATTCAATGATTATTCAAAGAATTCTAAAGATTTTTGATGATTGTACGTCACACACGAATAAATACGAAAAATGATTATAATGATGGTAATCATTGCTAGAAGAACCTACGAAATTTTGATATAAAGACATTGTTTATTTAATTTCAGCAGTGACCTTATTAATGTGTGTGTGTGAGTGTTTGTGACACTTTTATGCAAAAAACGCTATATGCTGGTGTTATAACTAAGCACCATGATTCTTGGGAATTAGTAAATTATAGGTTGAATGAAGGTAACCATTGTTTAGTTGAGCTGTGCGTTTACACGTTCGTTAACATCGTTTGCTTTAGGTAATTTATTCATCAAATGCTGCTTCAGTTATTAGGTATCTTGTGCAATAATTGTTAAAATCAGTTCTAAATTAATTAATTTTTAAATTTTTTCTCAATTTGTGAATTTTTAGGTTTTGGAAGCTTGGTTATTTGGCAATAAGCAAAACATAATTGAGATAAATTAATTTCTGTTTTATTAATTTACATATTTCAAACTTTACATATATTACAAAATGGATCAAAATTTTGCATCATTCAATAGTAGTCGATTACTCTCTTTTTTAAATAAATTTAAAGTGACTCGAACTCCTCCTCAGGTATGTGAATTTACCACGCGTTGTAACCATATCCGTAACCGTAAGCTGGGGCGGCGTACGCAGCAGAGATTGGAGCGGAATAAGCAGCAACAGCTGGAGCAGCATAGGCGGCAACAGCGGGAGCGGCATAAGCAGCTACGGCGGGGGCAGCATAAGCGGCGACGACTGGCTTGCTGTGCACATCAGTCCTGGACTGATAGCTGACGGCGGTTGGGACAGAGACAGCTGGAGCAGAGTAGGCAACAGCTGGGGCAGAGTAGGCAACAGCGGGAGCGGCAGCATAGGTGGCAACTGGGGCGGCAGCGTAGGCGGCAACTGGGGCGGCAACGGCAGCGACTGGGGCGGCAACGGCGGCCACAACAGGCTTGCTGTGCACATCGGTCCTGGATTGGTAGCTGACGGCAGTTGGGACGGATACGGCTGGGGCAGCGTAGTGAGCGTATGACACTGGGGCAATTACGCCGGCGGAGGCTACGGCCAAGAGAGCGGACAACACCACCAATTTGAACATTTTGATTTTGTTGGTTTAGGTCTGTGTTGTCTTGTCGACTGAATTGAACTGATGCTTTTGACCAGTCGAATTTTGGTATTTATAGCAAGGGTTTTTTGGAGTATGTTCAAGTGTGCGACCTTCGGGCGTGGACGCGGCGAGTTTACTTTCTTGTGATGTCCGCGTCCGCGCTCGATTTTGTTACTCGTATTTGTTATGGTTACGACGAAATCTCCGCCACATGCTATGCGAAGAACGAGGCTTGGCATGTACGGAGATTAAAGCGTTAACATCGCACGTCATAGAATTGCGTGGTAAGTTCTTCGTACAGGATACGAATATTTGCCTGTGTAGTAAATTTAGCGCGTCATCACAACTGGTGCATTCCTTCGTAGTGATAATAAGAGATCGTTTTCAAAAGATTGAGAACCACATTGCGACATTTAAATTAAATGAATTAAATTTCTTACATACTTAAAATACTTTTCTTAAAAATGCACTTAAAGATTGACGATTAATCTGGAATTATCTGGAATAATAAACAAAATTCAATTTAAAAGTTAATTTCCTTCACAAGTGCATACATTTTCAGTGATAGTCCTCTACTTTAGTAGAATTGACTTACGCAATGATTGAAAACCTTGATAATAATTCTGAAACTCATTAATTTCTTTGTTTGCTTCTGTGTGAATCAAGTCAAACATGGTAAGCAAGATTATTTCTAATCACTTTTTTTGCTTTATCCAATTTTCATTACCTTCGTTACCTTCATTTTCAAACAAATCATTAAATAACGATTGAAGAATGGTTGTATTTCTTCAATGCGGACTTTGCGTTTGTGTTAACTTGCAACATTATTTAACATTGAACATGAAACAAAAAAAAACTAGTATTGTATTATATCGACAATCCCACAAACAATGCTCGTAATTCATTATTTCCTTGCAGAATTATACTTTAGTTGATATAATTTTATTTTATTTTATTTCAAATAACCAGTTTATTGAATATGTAACTCAAAAATGTAGTTGATTTGGTTCGTTTTTTTTTGCTAATGTTGGTGGGCTACTTGGTACAGTTTCGACCGTGACCTTTACTTTTATTAGAGCATTTCTAATAAATAAATCCTTGCGGAAATAAAGAATGCAAAAAGTTAGAAATTGTCTAGTCAATTAATCACACATTATTATTCGTTACTCAGCAGATAAATCAATATTTTGAATACAATATAGTTTAAGAATATATTATGAATAGTAATATATATAAATATATAAATTTTTTTGTCACTGTAATACTCTTCAAACTAATTTTGCAAATTAAATACCATTAAATCATAAGACTAATAAAAACATCAATTCTACCGAACTGAATTTTATTATTCGAGCAACGTATAGGTACATATGTCAGGATGTAGCGAAAAGATCCATACGTTATACATTTGCTATATATTCTAAATTTTCCCAGCTACATATTATGTATAAACCGTTTTAATTTAATCAATGTATTATTACTTATAATATCACTAGCAGAGTTGACATCTTAGTCAATATTGTATCAAAAATACGGTGTAATAAAATGCAAATCACATATAATAGATTGATTTCATGTTCACATTAAAACAAACAAATTATGATGCAGATAACAAATTTTATTTAAATATATACACTCGGTAATGTTACAGATTGTGTAATATCATTTACTATTATTTAGCATCGAGTCACTCTATTAACTATACTAATGTATGTAGGTCGCAGTAGTTTTGAAATTGTTTTCTTGGACAACAAATATTTTTAATCTTCTTTAAAATCTGTAAAAACTTTTGTATATGGTATAACGGGCTTGATTGCTGGTTGTGGAATCAATGGTTCTGGAAAAATTCTCTTTAGCAACAGTGGTTTCTCTGCTTTTGGCAATGGAACAACATCTTTCAATTCTTTTATCTAAAAATTCATGAAGTAATGGATTATAATTTATTCATTTATATCACTTAGTCGTATATATTTTTAATAAGTTGATACTTATTTGTTTATTTAAAAAGAATTCTTTTTTGAGCTGGTGTAGTGATTAATAAACTTTATAAAGTTTATAGCGTTTACTTTGCTTATAATTTATATAGTTAGTTCTACTTCATAATAGATGGCAGGCAATGTATTAAATATAGCAATTTATCATAAGTTTCACAGTGTTACTTCTGAACTGTATTTAAGAACAATAAACATAAAATTTCTAGTTATTTTTAATGTTATGTTATTCTCGTAATATTAAAATTACTTTAATTACCTTTTTGTCTTTCAATGCTCTTAATTCTGTCAAATCCACCAGTTGGCCTTTTTTCTCATCGGTTTTAGTTCTCGGCTTTTGATTTACACGTATTATTAAATCATCAACTTTTTCTTTTCTTTTTCTTCTACATGATCATGTGACTCCTTTTTATCAATTGGTTTTGGAAGTGGCAGTGGTTCACTAGGAACTTTAACAACTGGTTCTTCATAGTCACCACCATAGTATTCTTCGATGGTATAATAGTAGTCATGTGCATCTTCTTGATCTTGTTTTTTGTGGTCAACTTTTTCTCGGCCATGCTGTTCTTGGTGATCAGTCTGATCGTGATTATGGTAATACCGACGGTGACCATTGCAAACCACTGATAGGCATAGTAAAATTGCAACCTAAAAACAAGGTATATATTTTTAGGTAATAATAAACCGATAAATATTTTCAATTTACTATTTTAAACATGACGATAACGGTTCTGATGCACACCTGTTAGTATTACACTTGATATAAAATAACTAATTTATTATGGAACAAAATGCACTTATATACACATCTTTAAAATATTAAAATATGTGCATAGCTTTGTTTTGCATTTTTTCAGGGCTACGATGGGCAATTAAATGATAAATAATCAATTTATGCCAATAATTTTCATATAATTAATTTAATAACACTTCTAAAGAAAAACAAAGAATTAATTAGGTTTTCTGCTCCTATTAATCATGTATTCAAATAATTTCTCTAATTGTGCACATATCTTTAATATTTTATTATCCTATTCATCTTCGAAAACACAATAATAGTAGAATATTAATTCGTACTTTTTCCAAACAAGACGTGGTAATAAATTATTGCTTAATTATTCAAAACGCCTGAATAAGCTTGCTTGAAGTAATTTTGTGGGAGAGCAACGAAAATAGATGAATTTTTAGCAATTGCTAAAAAATTGCAAAATTGCAAAATTGCAAAGTTTAAAAATAATATTCAGTATATTGTGTAACTCTGATTACAAATACATAAAAATAAGAAATAATTATATCTTAAAGATTCAAGGTGTACATAAAATATTTAAATAATAATCCTGGTTCGGTTGATGCAGTGTTTCTTGGGAGCGTTCCAAAAATTGTCGTTCTTCTTATAATCATGTCCGTTTTGATGCGTCATTTAAGGATGTCCGTAAAATCCATGAGGGCCAAAACCGTGACCTAATACTAATGGTGCAACAGGGGCGGCATGTACGATAGGGTGCGCTGGAGCCACAGCGACAGGATGCGGATGCAAAGCAACAAGATTGGAATTAGCGTACGAGGTGGCAACATGAGCTTTCACCGCAACGGGAGCGGCATGAACGACTGGAGCGGCGTGTACCACAGGTGCAGCTGGCACCGGACCTAATACTAAACCAGCTGGGCCATAGTGGTCGTGTATTACTCCAGCACTTGCCGCAGAAAACAAAGCAACAAATATCTAAATAGAGAAATTCAATTTAAAATTTTAACACATTTTATATTTATTCCTTTATTTGCATACTCACAATTTTAAACATTTTGTGCTGTATATAGCCTTTATTAAAGCTTCTATTTACACTTATATAAAACACTTATGCACTTGCTAAATGCGTCTTGCTAAAGACAGTTTGGGTGACTTTAAGAAAATCAAATGAATCGATTGCATGCAAGCTGTACCGGTATATATAGGCAATGCTAAAGTCGTGCCTTGCTAGGTGCAGTCCCAAGACCTAGTTCATGTGTTCGCAGGTAGTTAGCAAAGGTTTCCATTCTCATGACTTTTTCACGTTTTTTGTTTGGCTGCATTTAGCAGAGTTTGCCGCATTGGCTGCTGCGAATGAAAGATATATGAAAATGGAATATACGACGATAAATCGCTATATACAAAGTGTGGTGCGATCATAAATGATTGCACGTCATTCAGTGCCGTCTTAATACACAATAAAAATAAAATTTTAATAAGGAGTCATTTGATATAATTTGTATTTCAGTGAATAAATGCAATGATTCTGTTATTCTGTTTCAATATTCTAACCATAGTACCTTTTTCATTATAAATGTGTTCTTTGAAAAATACAATTAACTAGTAACTCGCTTTGAAGTGTATATTCTGAAAAAAAACCTTTGCCTTATTTTACTGCAAAGTACTTTATTAAAGTTTGCGTACAACGCTTGTGTAATGTGACTTTTGACTATTGGAAACTTTCACCAGTGTTCAACTAAATTGCACTTCGAAAGCATTAGATAACCCACCATGTAAAGAATAAGACCTAAGCAATATTTGTTTATTGTCACTGTCTTTAAACACTTTGTAACTCTTTAAAATGTATTCTTTTAATGACTATCGGAATATCTGGGGCACATTAAGAAAAGTCATTTGACAGGTGAAAAAATTGAATCAAGGTGACATGCATGCGGTAGGTCTTGCATTCGCACTTGATTTAGATCAATACAGCAGCAAATACTATAACCTGTGATTGATGTGCACTGCGAAGATAAGTTTCAAATCAATAATATCAATATAAACAAAATCATTTTAATTTTTTTAGAATGCATGATTTATTACTACTTTTGTTTTAATTACAAATCAAATGTACACCAGGTGTTCTTATTTGGCAACTACCAAAGGTTCTGAGTAGGCAAACGGAGCGGCGTGAGCATGGGCATAAGCATGAGGCAGAGAGTAGTGAACTGGTGCAGGTGCGGCAACGTATGGGGCGGCAGCTACATGGCCCACCGCAACTGGGGCGGCCACCGCGTGATTTACAACGTGTGCATTGTAGCTGCTTGCGTATGGTGCCACGTATGCTGCTGCCGCCACCGGCACAGCAGGAACAATACCTGCTGACGCGGAAGCAAGAGCTCCAATCAGTGCTACGACAAAGAACTGAAACCAAACAAATTATGTATATAATTGATTTTAAATTTAATATTAAGCAATTAATTAAGATGTGATATTGATGTAGAGTAATCATTTAAACATATGAACATACCATTAGCTTAGCTGCCATTTTGATTTGGTGTACAAGTTTTGGTTGATTGTTGTTCGAAGGATTGAATTCGACAATGTTAATTGTGATGGCCTGCTGACATTTATACCAAAACAATTTCTACCACCGTGCAACTTGGTCCCGTGTGTAAATAAAATTAGCATATACCTTGTATAAACGGGAGTAATTGGTTATTCCGAATGCATTTCTCCAACAAGCATTTCTTCACTTCTGATATACGTGACTGTCAAACAATAATTTCACATTTGAACACTTTTTTATACCTAACTGTCACAGCTGTAGTTTAAGTCTGTGGAAATCATCAAATTTTTACATAATTATGAAACAGATCTATTGTGTACTGTTAGTAGATTATTTTGTAGGCATGTCTCGTGTAAGTCACATTATCAGGTGAACGAAAATATAATATTTTAATTAAATGGTATGTTTACACTGTAGTATTATACTTGGTTTTATTTTTCTTAAACGCTGCCCTAATGCTTTTAGCTTATATTATAGTGATATTCTGCTGTGACTTAATAGCAATATTTGATTGAATTCAAACATTTACCCTTCAATTATAGCAGTTTCTTCTTTCAGTCAATGATCATGTGACAAATTACTACACGTAACATCATACACAGCCTGAATTATGCAGGGTGCAATGTTTAAGTGCGATTTTTTAAAAGAAAATTAGAAAATTAGAATTTCTTAATTCATTACAATTAATTACAATTAATAATTAATTTAAAACATGCCATTTTCGGTCAAGTTAGTAGAAAAGAAATTTTCGTTGGGCAAATTTTGACTAATATACTTAGGTAGTATAAATATCCCCGTATTTTTTTTAAAGTTTAGAAAAATAATTGAATTTTTCATTGAACTCGCAAATATAGATTTTAGATGTTTATATTTACTCCCAATAGTTGTAATTTTATTGCACTAAGCGATAATGGTAATATACGGCAAACTTGCAATAATAGCACAAGACAACTTAGAAAATGTGTACTTATAGAATAGAAATCATTCATTTTTGTTCAAATTTAATATTACACTTTAAAATAACTAGGAATATTACATATATAAAAGTATATCCTATATATTAGAATAGAATATAAATATAATTGTAACAAAAAATATATTTCAACAAATAACATTTTATTTTTCCAAAGAACCGTAATATAAAAGTACAATTATAAAAGAAATAACATATACATCACTCTTTATGTTGACTGGGTTATATATACAACAATTTCTAAATAAATCATCGTCGATGATGATGTAAAGAATCATGATGATGCAAATGACCGCGCGCTACCAAGGGCGCGAACGCAGCTGGTCCATGAACATGCGGAAGCGCTTGCACATGAGGAGCTGGCTGTACCGCAGGCGCTGCATAAGCATGCACATGATGAGGAGCTGGTACAAACGCATGAGCTGGATGAGCTACATACGGATAAACATGCGGAGCAGGTACTGGAGCTGGTAGAGCAGGTGCCACATGTGCATGTGGCAGAATATGAGCATGTGGTGCTGGTAGCACACCTACATGTGGCACTGGAGAAGCAGCATGCGGTAGAATCGCAGGCACACCACCAAATGCAACTGGAGCTATGTGGGGAGCCACTGCAAGAGGTGGTGATACAGCTGGATAGAACGGCGCTGGAGCGGCATGGACGTGCGGTGCAATCACAGGCCCATGACGTGCGTGTAGATGAGGAGGCAGAAGGGCAGCAGCCGGTGCTATCACTGCTTTGGGTCCAGTGCGCAGGAAACTCACGGCTGCTGCAAACGGTGGTACGTTGTAAGGTATGGCTCTAGTGTAAGCAATTCCTCCTGGAAGTGCAGGTAAAACACCGCTACCCTGCACATGCACTAGAAGACTTCCAAGCATAAAACTGAAAACTATCTGAAACTGTAAAATTTATTAGATTTAATTTATTAGTTACCAATAGAAGAGTTAATTACTTTATGTGCCATTGTTAAGTATATAACTTTGAACGATTATTGAATGATTACCACGAGGAAGGTGTCAGATATTTATAGAGAAATTGGAGGGTACTATCCCTTCCTAAAAGTTCTAAATTTGGAAGCGTTATGTAATTGGGCCAGACTGGACTACCAGAAAGAAAGAATGAAAGTGAGAAATTAAAATTACTTTTTAATACTAGATTTCTAATTACGATCACGTATTGATCGTGATGCATAATTTGTCATGTTTGTCATCGTCAATGTCTACATTGTAAAGCTACGCCGAAAATTTCACTATGGATAACATTTGTGGAGTTTCAAAATGTTGACGTCAGGTAGAGACCTACAAATTTTTGCAAAAACTTATTTATAAAATGCTAATATTGGAATTTATTTATTTCGTACGATGCTGTAACAATTTATTTAAATTTCAAAAAACCCTATTTTACTACTACAGTTACATGGTTCACCTAAAGGGCAAGATTTTCTTTCTTTTTTTATTTAATTAGCACTTTCTTTATTTAACATTGGTAACTTTAATTGTACCAGCACGATGACATAAGTCAAAGTTAGATTTGTTAAGGTAAAAAGCATCTTGTGATTGATTTCAAAGTAACCCCATGCGGTAAAACGAGGACAACGATGGCTCGCTTGCTGAGCTAAAATGGACAGCTTTTGTTTCAAGATGGTGTCGTTGTAATTATCATATCGTTGCAAGACATTGTAAGCTAAATTGACAGTACGCCTTCCATGGTTACTTATAAGCTCAAACAGATATGCTTGAAATGTTCCCAAAGCCTAAAAACCAAATGCTTTTAGAAACTATATTCGTTAACTTACTAACATTTACTTACACTTATATAAAAGACCCAAACAAACAACAAGACAGCCAAATCATCAGATGCATTCCTTTCAAGGAGGACATTTAATACCGCCAAAATATTAGTCATTTCATAAAATTTAATGATAAGACTTTCAAATCCAAACACATCGTTGAACAAATCTGCCAAGTTGTTCACCAAATTGTGTTCAGCAATAATTTGTGATACAAGCTGGGGGTGTACGGGCAATCCATCTAATAACCTTTCCAAATTTTGGTTCATTTTAGACCATCTACCGTACATCAATACAATAAATAATATTTTCGTGGAATACATAAAAGTAATGCATTGACTTGCGTAAACTTCGATTGCAAATGAAAATATTTGCCAATAATTCTCAACGATAGTAATAATTAAATGAACATTAATTGCAACTATTACCAGAAAGAAAACAATGTTATAAACCAATATTATAGTAACACACTTATTTAATGGTAGTTTTGTACCAATGAGAAGTCTAGTAATGCTTGTTAGCTTGTCGGCATTACGCGTATTATTGCATATCATCCAAGAAATGATCGCTAGAAACAACAACCAGTCACTAACGATTTTGAATTCGCTATTGAAGAATCCATTTCGCTTCTCTACAAAAATAACATTGACGCAAATCACTGCAGTATAGGTAACACTGGAAAAACATGCTTTTAATTTGCTAGGCGTAAAAGTATGACTTTTTTCGTTGTAATTTGGTAGTAAACCAAAGTAATGAAGACATTTTTTGAGAATAAATAAGCTATCAACCATTATATTTTTACAGTTTTTTTGACAAAAAACTTGAAGTTACAACCTTTTCAGAGACTGAATTTGACTAGATATGAAACTATTATAAACAATATAAATTCATTAGTAGATGTTGTTTATTTGGTAATATACATTTTCAATTAAAGAAAGTGAATAATTAGTGGATATGTGTTTATATTATTAGTACTCGTATACGAGTACAATTAGAGTATTATTATCTTCAAGTAAATATTTACTTTGCCTGCTACTAGTAATTGTGAATTAATTGACGCTGTAGAATAAAATCAATTAATTAACATGCCCTTCTGTTGTAGATGCACTTTTGTCAGGTACTAGGCAATAATTTAAAACAAAAAAAATATGAATCTTCGAATTTCTTAAATCAACTCTGCCAGTTGTCAATTTAATATAAATTTTTAGGATACGATTTAAAATTTGTAATAAAATTAGATAAAAAATAAGTAATAAATAAGACTAAATAGTGCTTTGTTATATTTTATTTATGATTTAAGTAATTTTACAATTGGCATGATCAAACAAACACTGGTGGAGCAACATATGGAGAATAATGATAGTGGGGAGCAGCGTAAGCAAGCGGCGCTGGGGCAGCAGCTACCAGTGGCGCAGATCTAACAATAGGTGCTGGGGCGGCAACTAATGGAGCAACTGGAGCTACCAAACCATTATAGTTGCGAGCAAAAACTTGAGAACTTTGAGCTGTCACTACAGCAGGAGCTACAACCGGCGCCGTGTATGCAGCGGCCAAAAGTCCTGGCTTTGGTCCTGGTGTGGCAGTGGCAATAGTGGCGCACATGGCGACAGCAAGGATGATCTATAAATACAAATAACATTAACAATTTATTGCTATATATTTAATAATTTTTTTAAATATACCTTGATCATGTTGGTAGTTGGTTTGTGGTTGTTGTTGCTCAAAGGAAACAATGTGATTGTTTGATAATAATTTGATTTTTTGTCCGGTTTATATATGCGTGCAAAAGGTGCAATGTCGAAGAGGGGATGGTTTAAACTTTAAAGAAACTGATGTATGAATACAAATACGAAAATGTTATGCAAACAATTTCATTGGTTTTCGACGACGATCCACATATAACATGGCGGATTATTTTATGCACGTTTGACATTCATGTTGTAACACTAATCGACGCGATGATTTCTGCATTTTAATTCAATTGCCAATTACTTGTATTCGGTGAAAAATTTATAGCAAACTTTCATTATACTATCTTTAGACTTCGTCAAATAAATGAAATATTTATAGAAAATATTATTTTATTTGCAGATATCATCTGGGCAATGATCTCAACAAATAAAACACTAACAGAAACATGTGTTAACCCTTTGATCTATCTCCGCAAACCTTCCTGTTCCTTGCTTTGGTATTCGTTTCCTCTTGAGATTTCCACATAGGTAAACGCGTTCATTCAATTGTGCAATTCAACAAATTTAAGTTTGCAAACTCAGTTCCTAGATGGAAAGATAAATGAACTTGACTTTGGCATTTGACGCATTTCTTTGAAGATGTGTCTCTTAAACAAGACACAAAGTTTTAATTGCCAAAGCTAAGCGGTGTAGCTTCACTATTAAAGGGAATTGGATAAAGTTTAATTGAGAGTCAAAATATTAATTCATTAATTTGGTTGAAGGCACAACAGTAAGAAAATGAAGTATTTGCATGTATTCATTTTATTTTTGTTTGATTATTTTCAACATTTTATTTTTATGATTTATTGAGATGATGATGAGTGTTTATGATGACGATGGTTGAGCGAGAATTTTCAGTCGAATGTAAGGGGCCAGTGGGTCGTATGTCGGGTCGCTGGCTCGATTCTCCACGTCGTCCGAAACCGATCATAGAAGATACTGATATTGGTACTGCAGTGGTTGCTGGTACGCAATTGGTTGGTAGTAGTTCTTGTATAAGTATGACGGGGCATACTGATTCTGATATTGATAGGCGTAGGCAGATGGGTATTGGTATTGATAAGCCAGAGGAACAATTGGTGCAATTAAGCCTGGTTTCGGAGTCGGAGCTGGAGCCGAAGCGGCAAAAGCCAAGATGGTGGCGAACAAAAACTGAAAAATTAAATTCGAATTTTAAGTTTATTTATATTTAAAGTAATCAAGAAAGTAACTTACCAACTTAAACATTCTGTCGTTTGTGAGGATCGTTGATCTGCGGTAGAGATGAACTGCTTATCGAACTTGTCTTCTCGCTATTTATAATAGAAGTGCATTCCACCACTCCGGGGTTGTTATTTTGCTCATTTTGTGATAATGTAGCACTGTGGTCCCGCAAGTGCACCACTGCATGCCGTCAAGGTTGTCCGTGCAAGATCATTATCCTGAGACAAAGAAGTACTTTTTCTTCAGGCGGACGTGCATGATAGCTGCAGTATGCCGACAATGGGCATGATCTGCTTGAGGCACTTACTTACGCACGACAAGATGCGTACCAGTCTTCGTATCGGTGGATTTGACGCAAAAGCGAAGAACCTGCATGAGCGAACATCCTGGTTTCATTGCCAACTAGCTACGATTTTTTAACTTTATTTCTTGAAGCTTCGCCAATATTTTTCTTACAACAAGTATTCTTAACTGTAGCATACTTAGTTGAGTATAGATTTGGACTATAAAATAGTGAAATGGCAAAAGATATGATTTTTTTCTTCAAACAGGATTCTTTAGATTCTTTTAAATCTAATATAAAAATGTTATAATTTTTAAAGCTTTCAGTATATTTGTGATCATCAAAGATTTGTTAAATTTTTAACTGTTTTAAACGTGTAGTAATATATTTCTTATAACGTACAGTTTTTGAATGCACGAATGGGATATCAAATAACAACCGAATTCACCTACATCTATTAAACATATAAAATTTATTTTTAATTTTTTTGATGTGTTTACAATTCAAAGTATTGTAAACGTTTCGTATTTGGTGTTTTAACACGTTAAGGACGGCGTGTACCACCGGTGGTACACACGCGTCTGGTCTGTGGGACGGCGTGTACCACCGGTGGTACACGGCTCATTTGAAACGATACTTATTCATTTTGACTACACCACTGGTTAGGTTATATCTTCTCCTCGTTTCACCTATACAATCAGGGCCTTGCATCTTTGTCATCAAATGTGTCACTCAGATTACATATTATAATAAATAGTGACCGACAAAAGTTTCAGTTTTGGCTTCAAATTTGGTTTCGGCCAAAATTGGCTGAAACTTTTGGCAGAACCGAAACTCAGTGTTCGTGAATTATCGTGCGTCGTTCGGCTAACTCGCGGCTAAGTCGTGGTCGTCACTTGCCATCTCAGTTCGCACATAGTTTCGGTCGGACTCTAAAGATAAAGGCATTCATTACTAAGAAAATAAATAAATGGCGACGCAACTGCAAAACAATCGCTTTTGATACAGCAATGCATAACCACCAGTGGCGCACAGCTGAATTAATTAGACGGAGTTGAAAATGCTCAAACGCCGCCCGATGCGACAGACACCGAAAACCGCGCCGTCCTCAACGTGTTAAAAGTGATCATAATTCGAACTAATTTTATTATTACAATTAACCTGAAATTTATAACCCACAATTTTGTAATTAAAACCTTCAGACATCCATATCTTGTAAACATTTTTATTACAACCAGCGTACGTGTCAGCTGACTATTGGCCATCAAGCGTACGCACGTTGACACGACTGTGACCCATGTAATATTTTTCATACAACAGACTCCAAAACGCAGCAAGTTATTGCATTGCAATCAAACCCCGCACCGGTTGTACGCACTCTTTGTTTTAAAATCGTATATAAGCGGTGCGCTCAGCATTTCGAGTTATCAGTTTGCCTTTGCAATCAACTTGAGTTGACTCAGCAACCAAACCCTCTCAATCACATTTCAAAATGTTCAAATACGTAAGTAAATCAGATAATTTTAATCAAATACTAATTTAGTTAGTTATTTCTAAAAATATAAATCTAATTATCATGTGTGTTTTAAATTTTTAGATTGTCTTTGCTGTTCTTTTGGCTTTCGCCGCTGCCGAACCAAAACCTGCTCCAAAACCTGGCTTCCTGGGTGCTCCATTGGCGTATACCTCAGGTGCCTACCTCAGTCCCTACAGCGCTTCTTACATCAACCCTTACAGCGCATATACCGCCCCGTTGGCCTACAGTGACAGTTACCGATACAACTATGCCTACCCATATGGCTACAATTACTACTACTAATTGTATTTACTTGAAAATTGGACTATGAAGTATGCTCTGTTAAAGGAATATGAATAAACTACTGAATACCTGAAATTATTGACAATTTTTTGTTTCTTCATTGTTTTAAGAATGTTAATAACAACCTTTAAAATAAACTAACTAAATTGGACAAAAATATCTGCCTGTTTAAATTAACGCCAATCTGTTTAATATAAAAATTAATCATTATGTATGAAAGACGTGATGTGTTTTAGTGTTGATTTGGATCATTCTAAGAATTTGGTATTTTATTTTCAGAATTCTTATGTATAATGTTCTGATCTTTGAGTGTTTAACAGATTTGTTCTACTTCCACCTATGAAGTGCCATTTTCCACGGTTTTTAGACACAAAAAGTAGTACTTTATATACGAACATCTAAACCGTGAGCAAAGTACTTTATCTGCGGACATTATCGACGGGGCGGAGCTTGCACCTGCGCATTTGCCTACGGTGTGGCACCAGACCATATGAAATGCTATTTCCAGTCAAACAAGTCAAAGCAGGCGCTGCTGCTTTGTTAAAGTTGAGTAAAGCCCTCGTTTAGTTACTTGATACTTAATATACTGTTATCAAACCTTAAGACGAAATAATAAAATTCAGAATTGGCCAACATACACATAATAGTTAGTATAGACTTAATTAAATGGAAAATAAAATACACCAAATAAAATTAAACTATTTATTTTAATCAGGTGTCATTTATGATATGTGGCCAAAGCCGTAGGTCGTCGTCAGTCGTTTATCTAGTAGTGGTAAGCGTAGGGGGCGGCGTATGCAGAGTATCCATAGGGATGAGCATAGCTACCATAGGCACCAGCATAGGCACCAGAGTAAGCACCAGCACTGTAGGCATAGGGGTAGGCACTACCGTAGTAGCCGGTGTAGGCAGCGGGGGCGGCGTAGGCGGAGTAAGCGCTGTAGGCTGGGTAAGCGGCCTTAACAATTGGGGAGTAGGCGCTGTAGGCGGCAACGGCTGGGGCAACAAAGCCTGGTTTTGGGTCGGCAGCGGCGACAGCCAAAAGGGCGGCAAGAACAAACTGTAAAACAAATCAAGAATTAATTACAATCATTTTAAATCATATTACAAAGAAAAATCAACAGAAAATCTCACTCAACTTACCAGCTTGTACATTTTGGTGGTTTGATTTGGTTGCTTCAGCGTACTTTGGTGAACTGATGCCTAATCTCCCATCGTGGTTCCTATTTATACAAAATGATTGCCCAGAGTCTAATGCGATGCCGAAAATTGCGGTTTAGGCAATTTAGAATCGTATGGTTAAATTATTCTTCGACTTGTCGTTTCGCCCCGTTGAGTCCACTTTTTTTTACTCCATGGGTTGCCATAAAACTACAACAAAAAACAACTGCTCAATTTATGTACGGAATGGCGTTATCGGCTGGTTAATTAATATAAATACCTAATAATATGTAGATTGGAGTGCTGGAATTGGTAACGCAAAGTACCTGACTGGTTTCAAGGTTGTGCGAATTCTTTGACTTCTTCGCTTCTTTTTGCGAACTCGTCTACTCTGACGTATCAGCGGTGTCCATCTGCCCGGATTTTAATTTGAGCTGTCCGCTCTAACGTGACTTCAAGTCACGCCTGGATCATAAACAAAGAACTTGAAATTGCAAGTGTAACAAAAGTAAATAAAACAGTATTGCTCAACGAATTAAAAAATAATTAAGTGTAATTATTGACAAAAATATACAAACAACAAAAACTTGTAAAAAAAACTTTATAAAACGTAACCTTCTAATTGTTTACACGTATTTGTTCTTGAAGTAAATATAATTTTGTTTTTGTTTAAAGTATTATACTTAACGATTGAGCGCACTTTATAAGTCGTATAAAAATTTTAAAGTAATTAATTTTAAAATAAGTATATCAAGTATATAATTACGTTTTATACAATGTTTTATATAGATTTGCTACTTTGCATACTAATTATCCACGCTAAGAGTAATCACCCAACTTGAGATTAAAGTTTATGAGTTCTTTTTGAAATGAAACCAGTCCGCTTTCAATTTTGTTTGTTTTCTGCAGATTGCGGTGTGCGTACTTTGGTAATCGCTTAATACACTATTGCCAATGTCACGATATGCGTACGTGCCCGAGACGATGACCATTATGCATTAAGGCAACTCGTGTAATTCCAGTACAAGTACATGTCAGTAGACGGCTAACAAAAAAGAAGATCGTCATCGGGTACCGCTTCTTTGTTTTAAAATCGTATATAAGCGACGAGCGGTGTGCATCCAGTTATCAGTTTTCAACTGCAATCAGCTTGAGTCTACTCAACAACAAACAACCCAACATGTTCAAATACGTAAGTATAGTAATTGCATTTTATTTTATTGATTAAATTTTTAAACTCAAAAATATTAAATTTTTAGATTTTCTTTGCTGTTCTTTTGGCGTTTGCCGCCGCTGAGCCAAAACCAGAACCTAAGCCTGGTTACCTGGCCGCCCCATTGGCATACACTTCGGGGGCATACATCAACCCCTACTCAACTTACCCAACTTACTCTGCTTATAATGCCTATAGCGCTCCCTTGGCTTACAGCAACCTCCAGGCATACAACTATGGGTATCCATATGCTTACAACTACTACTATTAATTGATTGTAATAACGTGATAAGAATTGTGATCAATGATTTTGTCAATGCAAATGAATAAATGACTGAATTAATTAACTTGTCTATTTTGTATAATAATAGAATTGTTCTTGTTAGATATTTCTATTTTAATTCAGCAGTTGGAAATTACAACCTTGCACTTGATTTCTTGTGCTTCCTGATTGTGAGCTGATCTGAGCGTACGCAGTTGAACTTCTTGGAGTCGGCTTAAAACTGGTGTTACCGGCCTTGATGGCGATCAACCGCGCCCAATCTCAGTCCAATAACCGCAATATTAAATTCTACAATACGCATTCCCTACAAGAAAAACAATATGATTTAAACGATCAAGTTTAAACTATGACAAAATTTAAATCATTGTTATTCAGTGGCTACATAAATCAAATAATAAATCTAATTTACTAAACAAAACTCGTAAATGAAGAACTGTAGGAAATGATATTTTATTATCCCTATGCCACAAATTTATATTTTGAGCAAATCTAATATACTTGTAATATCACACTAAAGAATAGATCAATAAAAAAAATGATTGGAAGGTACATAATCGCGAACAAAAGAATATTTGCAAAAACATTAAAAAATTCTATCATTATAGGAAATATATTAGAAAAACAGTTAAATTTTTGTTTAAATTTTATTTATTGCATAAAACTTAGAACTTAGAATACATTATTAAGATGTTGTTAAATAATGTGCTAGCGTCAAGTCAAATAGCCCATCAGTTCTTCTCGTTTCCCATCTTGCTTTGAAACCGCAAAGATTTAATAAGCGTATCCGGAGTAAGCAACTGGGTTGTAAGCAGCATAACCAGAATAGCCAGCATAAGCTGGGGCGGCATAGGCAGCGGCGACTGGAGCAGTGTAGTGGGCGCTGTAGGCAGCAGGGGCAACATAGCCAGCAGAGTAGCCGGCGGTGTAAGCCAAAGGAGCAACGACGCCTGGTTGAGGGGCGGCGAAAGCAACAGCCAAGACGGCGAAGAAAGCAACGACCTATAAAATAATAATAATTATAGGAAAAAATATTACAATTATAATTAGATTACAAATTGAACGTTCAAATTTTGAGCATGTTACTTACGTATTTGAACATTTTGATTGAGGTTTGTTGGAGCTGTTTGTTAGATTCAAACTGATGCCTTTTGATGACTGCGCTAGGGTATTTATACTCAAATGTGTGGAACTCTGGAGCGGCAAAACTTGTGTACAAATACATATTGCACATTAAAAAAATGTAGAGTCAATGACACAATAATCTATAGCTACTTTCAATATCAATCAAAATTCTCAACTTTGTGTAATAAAAAAATATGAGAATGTTTTTTATTTACTTGTTTATAAACATTATTTAAATATTTGTTGTTTTTATAAAACAAATTTATTCACACTACAAATCGATATCAGTTTATTTATTGTTATAATATTATAATTTTTCGTGATAATAATTTTTACTTTTACAACATTTTTATTGATTGAGTCAAACGAACATTATTGATAGGTAATATATGATATATATTGATTTAATCAATCGAGTGTTTCACAACATTTAGTACGTTTAGCATGCTGCACTGTAGGCAAATGCGCAGGTGCAAGCTCCGCCCCGTAGATAATGCTCGTAAGTAAAGTACTTCACTCACGGCTTTGGCCGTTTGAATATAAAGTACCACTTTTTGTGTCTAAATACCATGGAAAACAGGCGCTTCATAGGTGGAAGTAGAAAAATATATTTGATCAGTAAGACGGTAGAAAAAGTAGTATCGCTGTAGTATCTTATATTGTACCATATATTCTCTATCATCTCCTAGTGTTGGTAGTATGGAGATAGGTAAACATCATATTTAAAGTATATACATTTTTCATATGAGTATAGTTTAAACATAAACTGCACAAAAGCTCCATATAAATGAAACTTTTGCCCACAGCATGAAGATATTTTCATTAGTATAATTTTATTATTTTCTAAGTTGAATTCGTAATCCATGGTTTATAAAATGTATTTATTAAAAAAATAATAATCAGTTTTCTGATGATGCCCACAGGGCGAAACATGTAAAACTCGCATACAAAATTGTAAAATCCAAGAAAATCACAAAATTATTTTAATAAATACATTTTATAGTATAATTTTAATATTATTTTCGTTTCTTAGTGTGTGAACGAACTACTATATAGGTATACAGTAGTAGTTTGATTAGTTTTGTCAAATTAAAATAATTTAGTTTGTCTATCACAAAAATAATCAATATTTTAGGAAAATCATATTTATTACAAATAAAAATTTTCAAACATTATTTGGATGTTCTTAAACAATGTGCTAGCGTCATAGTCTATTAGCCACAGTCATCGTAGATTTCAAACATTTAAAATAAATATCTAATTAAAATAAATCAAATAATTTAATAAACGTAGTTGGAGTAAGCGATTGGGGCAGCATAGGCAGCACCATGGTAAGCTGGGGCAGCATAACCAGCATAAGCTGGGGCGGCATAAGCGGCGGCGACTGGAGCAGTGTAGTGGGCGCTGTAGGCAGCTGGGGCAACATAACCAGCAGAGTAGCCGGCGGTGTAAGCCAGAGGAGCTACGACACCGGGTTTAGCGGCGGCAAAGGCAACAGCCAAGACGGCGAAGAAGGCAACAACCTATATAATATACACATAAGTTAATGCTAATTATCAAGTTATAACTGATAAAGAACTTACGTATTTGAACATTTTGATTGAGGTTTGTTGAAACTGCTTGATTGATTCAAACTGATGCTTTCCTGAGGATCTACACTAGTATTTATACTAAAACGTTTGGTGATTTATTCATGAGGTGGGTCGACCACGCTTTATTGTTTACACGCATTTTGGGCGGTAGGGGATTTGAATGACACAATATAAACATATCAGCCAATCAAAAGTGGGCTGTAACTCCTGGGCTAATAATGTAGAACAAATTTTGGTAAAGTATAATAAATTATGGAAATGATATGTTCTAACAATACAGGAACTGGATTCACTCTAATAGGATTTAAGTTTAAAAACATGTGGGGCTATCGGTAATAAAAAATATTTATTTTTGCACTACGTAAATTGTATTTAGCTAAATTCATTTTCTCACCAACAATTTCAAGATATTGATACTTTCAGGGTTTAAAATCCTCTGTATTACTTAAATATTAGATTATTAATTTTGTAAGAGTTCACTATTTCCACATATTTCAAAACTGTTTTTATTATTTATAAGATTAAAAAAAAATAAATATTTTTAATTTTTCAAGAATAAGATTTTTGCTGAGCTTGTGATATAATCCGCACCCGATGAGAGGTTAATCAATTTTTATTACAAATTATTATTGTAAATCTACTGAATAAATTGCTACTATTTTCATATAATTTGTGAGAGCGATGGCATAATTTTAGACACTTGTAAACAATAGAATTTTATTATTGTTTTAAATAATAACTCTTTCTGATATCTTTAGTTTCTTCGTTTTTGTTGTTTATTTATTACTTCTATCAAAGATATAGAGACAAGACAAATTTATTCTGAAATAAAGATAATGACTGCGCCAAAGTAATAAATGTATAATTTTGTTGATATTAATAAGTTTAATATAATTTGATAATACGAATCTTCTAAATTTATATTTTATGTATATGGGTATAACATTAAATTTTTATTTATACATGTATTGAATTATTGAGCAAAGAAGGAAACGAGAAGGCCAAAGAATGAAAATGTAAAATGAATATTTTGTAAAGTACGATTAAAGACAAATATTTCATACAATATTATATTTATTGTAATTAAATTCAATTAAACATTATTTGGATGGTATTAAATAATGTGCAAGCGTCTAAACACATAGCAACAGTAGTCATCAAAGCCATTTGATTATCAAATCTTTAACAATTTAATAGACGTAGTTGGAGTAGGCGACTGGAGCAGCGTAGCCGGAGTAAGCGACTGGGGCGGCATAAGCAGCGCCAGCATATGCTGGGGCAGCATAGGCGGCGGCGACTGGAGCAGTGTAGTGGGCGCTGTAGGCAGCTGGGGCAACATAACCAGCAGAGTAGCCGGCGGTGTAAGCCAGAGGAGCAACGACGCCTGGTTGAGGGGCGGCGAAAGCAACAGCCAAAACGGCGAAGAAGGCGAGAACCTAGCCGAGCAACAACAAAATTAACGTCAGAACAATACACGTTTTATTTGAACCACTAAGCGATCCAATACTTACGTATTTGAACATGTTGGTTTTGTTTGAGCTGTTTGATCGATACAAACTGATGTTTTGTGATCAATTTGCCCGAGTATTTATACTAAAAATGATTAAGGTGTCCACCACCCATATGCAAGTTCAGTATATAGAAAAAACACAGAATTAAGTATGGTGTGGGGAGTCAATGACATAACGTTTTGGACGTAGAGCCTTGTTGCGGATCAACCCAACTAGGTCTGTCGAATGTAGATTTCGGCGTGTCAACAAATGTATGCAAATTTTCATATTTACATTATACATAAAAACAGGATGACAATAAAAACAGCGTAAATCATCAGAAACAGAATTTACAAGAACTACTTAAAGGCAGTAAGTGTACTTGCAATCAAAATAATAAATGCCAAATATTTGCAAGTTCAAAGTTATCAAAATAAATAGATGATGATGCTTATTTGGGATACTTATAGAAAATGGTAATATCAAAATGGTTGCAAAGTTTCGTGGATTGAATATTGTTTTTTTTTAATTGCAACTGGGAAACTTTAAAAGACAAGATTTCAGCGTTACAGCGTTTTGTTATATATAACAACTCTATAACTCAATTTATAAATAATATACTGAACTTTCTAGTATTCTAGAATGCTTCTAGAATGCTGTCTCGCGAGCTTTGTACCTCTACAACAATAAATGCTACCTAAGCTTAAGTTATACTAGTAGATATTAATATTAGCTATCGCTATCGCTAATATTAATATGGTGCCCGTATGAAAATCAGAAAATAACAAATTTTAGTCTTATCAGTAATTAATGTATTAGCCGGGATATTAATGTTAATTGGTAATATAAAAAATCAATACATAGTTTTTAAAGCAAATAAATGACATCACAGGTAAACAAATACATATTATAGAGTAGAGGATCAAATTAAAACACAAACAAATTTTGCAGGGAAATCATAGACAATTAAAGTTATAAATACAAAGTGAATAATATTTGCAATAGATTTATCGACTGTTCGTATTATACGAATTATATAGAATATATTATTCAAATATGTTTATTATTAAAATTTAACTAATTTCTAAATATTTGGGTTTATTATGAAATAAAATGAGTAAATTTCTTTCTCAAATAATTTATCAAATTTATTTTTGTTTTTAAATATTTTCTTCCATTTACACATATGACATATTATAAAACAATTAAATGTTTCAACATAAATCAAAAATTAGCCATCCAGTCGACATTGCAGAATTTCAGAATCGTTCAAATCGTGTCCATAAAATTTAATAAGCGTAAGCGTATGGAGTGTAAGCACTGTAGGCACTATAGGCGTATGGGGAGGCATAGGCGGCAGCAACTGGGGCGGTGTAGTGGGCGCTGTAGGCTGGTGCAACATATCCTGCAGAATACGCAATTGGTGAGGCAGCGACGTATGGTGCAACAAAGCCTGGCTTAGGGGCGGCGAATGCAACGGCCAAAACGGCGAAGAAAAGAGCAATCTGAATAACACAAAACTTATAACTTATAAACTTTTACTTATTTGCGGAAATACGGTCTACTTACATATTTGAACATGTTGAATTTGATTTGATTACTGTTTGCTGACAAACTGATACCTGCTCGTACTCATCCCACCGTATTTATACTCAAATCCACACCGAATTCTTCTTTATTTCGGACTGATAGTAATTGATGGGAGGTATAGTAGAACCACATTACCTAGTAAGGTTTTGTTGGTATGTATGTATGTACTTACCATACATTGGTGTATTTGGTCAATGCCAGAAGCAGGCAATCTTAACAATAACAAAAAATTATGGCAACGCCCGTCACCTTGAACTGTGTTGCGTTGTTCTTAAATTGAAAATTTATGCTGATCACCAACTAATTGCGTAACCCGAGTCCCAAGAAAACTAATTTAGAAACAGATGCATACTAATAGCCACTGGAAGCGTGCTTATCAAGCATACCAATTAATCTGCACTGTGTGTACCTACTCATCAAGCGCGGTTTGATACAAACGTGACAGCATTGGTTGATTCGTATGCGATGGTATTATGCAATATTTTGGCACTGTGCGCTGGATTTTGACGCATATCGTATTTACATTCGGTTTAATAACGATGAATAACAATCGAGGTTGTCACACTATACTCATAGATATAATCAGAACAAAAACTGCATCAAGACCAACGGCGGATTTCGTATGTATATCATGCGCACAAACTTGATGTCCACATTTTATTGCATAATTAAATATCATTGCTACATTTTTTAACGTTGGTTGCTGTAGGCTAATACATATAATAATTGTTGAATATTTACTAGGTCTATTGTTTGTTTTTATAAAATTAACATTAAATGAGTATGCGAATAACATAACAACTGTTTTGATCTGGTATGATAAATACTTTTGGAAAAAATACTTTTTATGCAATATTTTAGTGGTCGTTACAATGTCAAAGTTTTATTATACTAAATTAAATTTGCTCGACCATAAAAGGTAACTTTATACACACTCAACAATACATTTATTTAAACAATTGCAATAAAGGTGCCTATTATATATCTTGTTTCTTTTTATTGTTGCGAATAAAGCAAAATATTATTAAATCGAGTGTATATTTGCCTAGTGTACCACTAAAGCACGTTGATCTATGAATTCAAAATTCAAAATATTAAAATAAAGCCTGGCATTTTTTTGCGCTTTAGAAATACTGGAAACCTATCTTCACCATAGGTGTAAATTGCCGTCACAAATTTAGTTGATCCGGTTTGCCGGATTATTATTCAAGTTCAATATTAAGGAGAGCACCGTCTGTCTTTATTCGAGTGTGCATGACATTGACTTCCAAAACATAAACTAGATGAACAAATCCGCCTGTTCTACTAATAATATGCATATACCATACAGTATATACAGTGGTATCCTCAAGCATGAATTAGTTTGTTTACAACTACCTACGGGCTAGTTATGCAAATATAAATCTATTTACATAAAATGATTATGTTGGCAAATTTTTGCAATTTTCAATATATAATATAGATTGAATTTAAAATTATTTGAAAACTGAATGTATGAATTGTAAAGTAAAAAAGTTTTTATGATATTGGCCATTAAAAATGAGGCAAGAAAATTAAAGAAAAAGTTTTGAAAACAAAAGTAAATTAACAATAACATAAGTTATCATAAGTTAAAAATATAAATAAATTTGAAAATTATTAATAACGCATTTCTTATATTTTCGGCATCATACGTTTTCTATATTTTGTTAATGATGACCTAGCTCAGTAAGCAATTTACAAAAAATAGTATATTAAGTATCAAGTGACTAAACAAAGGCTTTACTCATGAGATTATTTAACAATAATATATCTACTATATTATTGGTATATTTGTAAGTAGACTAGGCTTGATACTAAAACAATTTTAAGTATTTTGATACTTGCATATTTTATTTATTAATTAAGCATTACAAATCTGAGAAAAACAAGACTATTGAACAAAATTTAAAAATTTTAGACATAAAAATTTAACCAGTTGGTTGGTCTACAGCTGAGTCGACGGGAACAGTATCAACAACATCGTTTCCAAATTGGGCAACTTCAGGTTCAGATGGATAGTAATCATCCATGGGTGGCATCTCTCCAGGTGCATATTCATCATGGTAGAAGGTAGCAGACGCAAGTGATGCTACAGCAAATACTGCAAAAAGGGCAAGAATCTGTAACAAATTAGAAACCAGTAGAATATTTGCTCTAAACAATTTTAGATAATTTGAACATAATTGAAATACATACCAATTTAGCCATGTTGGTTTTTTTGTTGGTTGTTAGTTCAACTGATACTTGAAACAAAATTTTTGCCTGTATTTATATGTATTTCTAGTCCCTATTTTAACATGATTGTATGTATCTACATAATCTATTTTCATTTTGTTTCTATATAATGTAATATTTTAATTTGGTACAAAGACACTAATGTAAAATCACAGATAAGAAAAACCCGTTAAAGAACATGAAATGTAATATCGGAAATGTAACCTCGCACTACTTTAAACTAATTTTATTATAAGTTAAGTTAACACAAAGTGAGGAAAAGATATTGACAACATGAACAACAACATATTTTACATTAAAGCAGTGACGTCATGTAATTCTCACCTGTTTTACAGTTGTGATAATAATGGTAGTACTTTAGTTATTTTTAGCTAATATGTGATAAATAAATGTAATCTATTCAGATTTTTATAATAGTTATTGAAGTATGTTTTTCAAAATATTTATTTTTATACGCTTTATTTTTTTACGCTTTAGTAATTTCCCTCACAGAATCTTGGTCTTCTGCCTCAATAACCAGTTAAATATTATCATTATACTAAGAAGCAAATAAATATATAAATCTGAAAATGTCGGAGTAAAATGGTTGAAATTAATTCAAATTGACATTATATAATATTGAATAAAATTTAATCAAAATGCGAGTAAAGAAAGATTCTACCGTTTTTCGATGAAAATTATACTTTAGTTCTAATTTGGTTCAAATTATTTATTCAAATATGTGAATTATTCCAATTATAAGTCTTACATTATTTTTCTATTTGCTTATGTGTAATATTTGATTGTTAACACAAATGTTCGAATTTGTAGTGGTTTTAGTAGAACTTGGAAACTTTCAACAACGTTTTTACGTGTGGTATAAACGTATGGCAACAAATGATGTTTCGAATAGTGTCTCACTTTATTCCCATCTATCCACTGATTTCCAGCTAAATTTGTCTCCCGGATATTTATTATTTTAAATGCGGTAAATACATTCTAAAAAAAATTAGAAATAATAAAAAATGCTTCAAATTTAAAATAATATATATAATCTATACCTTCAAATCTAATATCTGAGTAATACCATGTTCATTAATATGTTCTAAACGTATAAGAATCTTGTCTTCCCATTTTTTCCACGGTTCCAATGTCAATAAGTGAATATCTTTTGGAAATTCTCGTGTTAGCCCAAAGTACTAAAAATATTAAAAATCACAATACATTTAAAATTTTATTAATAAAATAGAGTTATTAATCACTCACAGTTTTGCTAATTACTTTCCAAACGTTCATATCATTAATTGCAGTGGGTATCAGAAATTGCCAAGGCTTTAGTAGTATCTCACGAGAAATGCTTTCATCATCTCTATTTTCAATCAAACCAAAATCAATTATATGCTGTCCACGAGCCACTGCACCCATAAATATTTCTTTCTCATCAAGAACTTCTTCAACTCCCAAAGAATCGTCTTGAACCAAACGACGATGCAACTGATAACATTAAAATTCATTACATTGATGCTGTAAAATATAACATAATCATACCATGATTTCTATTTCACCAGAAGCCAAACTAGTTGCTCCTTGAGCTCTATCACTGAAAATTGTCAAATACTTATTATTTGTAAAGTCTTCGATACCAATGTATGTCGTGATCGGATAGTAATTGCTGGAAATCTCATCTTCAGGTTCAAATCGGTACGTTTCACGATCATTTCGCTTTCTAATTATATAACTTCTACCATTTGTATCCGTACGGAACAGATCTCCGCTATTCAGGTTTGTTTTAAAGCGAGATATAATTTCTTTCCCTTGAAATTTCCTGTAAGTAAAAATTAATGCACTCGCGTTAATAACAATATTTTTAAATATTTTTTTATGAAAATCTTTATAAACTTACAGTAACTCAATTGGACCAACAGTCCAATCAAACTCAATGTACTTTTTAGAATCTTTATAAATCCGCACAATTTGTCCTGCCCAGTCTTCGTATTCTTGCCGAATTTCGTCATACAATGGACCTGTGCGTATATAACACCTCATTGAAGGGAATTCGACAGCAGGTCCCTCAGGTGCAAAAATATATGCTCCTGATGGTCGACCCTCAGCGTTCATCCGAGCAGCCACAATTTTTGAATTATAATACATTAGTTTCTGTTCAAATTCAACACTTTCTCTTGACGTAAAATAAGCCTTCACTTTGCAATCAGAATCAACTACTAATCCCAAGTCCTAAAAGTTATTAAGTTATTACAGTTATTACAGTATATACAGTTATTAAGACTGACCTTGGAACCCAATTGCAAAAAATCTTCAGGTTCTACTGGTTTCAATAACACAGGCTCAGCCTGTTCATCCACAGTTATCAAATATTGTTTAATACCTAATGCTGGAATGTTTTCAGCAAGAAATGTGAGTTCATACGGATGTGAGTCACCATGATGAATATCACTAAATTTTCTTAAGGGAGTCGACATTTGACATGGTACCTTTTCTGAAAATTGTTTGAATATTATTAGCCATCTAAATTTAGCAAACAGATCTAAATCTATCAGCATGCTATAAATATCTTATTGTCTTCACTCACCGCTAAGAGATTTTCTAATTGTATACCGGTGATTAGCCACCGGTAAACGCACGTGATGACTAACACTGTATGCAAGCGGATTGTACAAGATAACGGCAAATCGCTTGTGTCTACCCGTGGAGCATATGCTCATGTTCGACAACGTGCATGTAACAAAGTCTCTATTCCAATTAACACCATAAAGAGATTCGATGCGCTTGCTATTTTCGGCCACGGCCCCTAACATTCCATCGTGCAGCAATCGCGCGTAATCATTTGCTACGTACTGTTTTTCGGTACCAGTAATGGCGTCATGATGTTGCATGATTCCCATCGCGCTAGATAAATCAAATAAGTCACGATTTGCACCAACGTGAGATAAAACAGCTAATTGCTTCGAGACCTAAATGTTAATATTTATACAAGTTACTAAAAATTGTTCAGCTTCTAAGATGTCATACTAACTGACCTGCAACAAATTGTTTCCTTCACGTTCTAATCTTTTGCTCGTTGGTCGCGATGTATAGAATCCTGTCCAGTATGAGAATGCCCTATCTGCATATGGGAAGAAATCATCAGTTTTTAGGGGTAATTCATTGAGATTTGTTGAACTTCGAACAGCGTCGAAATAGCAAGCAGGAGTAGAATAGAAAATGTTTATCTTTTTGTTGTTTGAAGTGCGTAACTTTCGTTTTCGAATACTATTGATCAAAAAATCTATGTTTCTAAAGTAAACTTCAGCTATTGTATACGTAAAATCACCGCCCATTGTAATTAAAATATTATTTGTTTTGTATGCTCGCATCATTTCCTCAATATAATATACAAATTGTCTAACCTGCAACAAATCATTAATTAAATTTCTATAATATTTGAATTTTATTATTACTTTTGTATCTTCATTATAAGGTCCAATGCTGTATCCGCAAACATTATCAAAGCAAAAACCATCAGGTGGTTGATACAAATTGTACAGTGCAGAAGTAAAAATCTCAGAATTCTTTCCTAATACTGTATGGCCGCGCCACATCATCTCCATTGTCTTATTGGCAATGCGTTCAGCTTTATCACGATAGTCCAAACGACCAAAGAACAACGCTTCGAAGCCCATTTCTGCAAATATTGTTGCCATTTGCCGGCTATGACCAAACGGATCAACTTGCCATCCCACTTTTGGAGCTGCGCATGGCCCCAATGTGTCATTGATAAATCTTGTAGAAATCCAATTTAGTTTGCTGGTTCTATAGACTTAGTAGACTTGTTGCATTCTTTACATACCTTAGACCGAGAGTAAATCCGTCAATAATAGCCTGATAGTGTGTTGTCGCTTCATCATTCATGCTCCATGCTCCACCGGCTGTTTCTAGTTGTCCAGTTTTGAATAAGTAGCGTACTTGGTCCTTACGTTGCTTTGATTGACGTTTCCACCACATGTACAAGTAAGATGTTTCCACTTGTATAAATCTTTATCATAAACATTAAAAATTGACATTAAAATTGACTACAGTGTTATAAGTTAAATAAAATAAAATTATAGTATTATATATCCCATCACATCACTCTATTTACTGTTTGCAGTTTTTAAATTTGAATCTAGTAGAGATCATATCATTATTTTAAATATGAATATGGCTATGTTTGATTATTTGGGACGATTTTACGCAACAACCACTAAGCACATTTAGAAAAAAAATTGGTATCGTGATACTTTTGACCCGGAAAAATCAAGTAAGCCACTTATTGAAGCTAAAAAGTCTCTTGCGAGATGTAAAATAAGGATTGAAAGTTGGTCCGGAGTTTTAGTTAAAACGTTCGAAACGAGATAGCGCTAAGGTGCTTTTATTCGCGTGGGTAAATGCTAGTATGTATTAAAATTTTGATTAATATGTTTGCCAAAGAAGCAAAACCTTAATTTCACTTGTCATATGGGCATGTTTTTGTTTTCAAAAGTATTTTCAGGCATTTTCACCAATGTTTAAATTATGTGAACCAATTATTTGGTTGCGGCCTTCCTTATCAAAGGTTTAGTAACAATAAACAAAGTATTCAGTTTCACAATTCATAAATTATGTTTGTATGCCAAATTTACTTGGCAAATAATAACGTCCTACTTTCCCAGAATCCATGCAGCTCAGTGATTTTCAGTGTTACTCTGTCAGCCTAGTTTTTATTTCTATAGATAAAATGAATACGTATGTTTTTATTATAACAACTTCCACATTAGCAATATCATTAAATGCAACCTTCAGTCATCTACAACCAACGTAAAAGTTAAATATTCATGACGTTCTAATAACTACATCATTTACCTGCAAATATGTATGCTATGCCACTACTATTATTTAATTTTACTTAGTTTTTACTTTGTTCACGGAAACACATACCTCATATTCTAAAATATTTGGATTTAATTAAGAAGAGTACCTATGTTTTTATTGTATTATTTTCGCCTAAAAATAATTTTCAACTTTTAATTTCTTTTATAATTAGGTATAGTTAAGTTTAGTAGTGTGTTGATTAATCTGTTTATTGTATTGCGGAAATATTGTTTTTGTATTGTTCTCGCATATTGTTACTGATGTCGGTTATAATTGGAGAGTTGATAAATATCGCTTAAGCTAATCAGATCCCACAGAAATAGTAAAATAAAACCCTACTGCTCATACTCGAATTCAAAAAAATATGAAGGTATGTATTTAATTTTGATTTTGTGAATATCTTATAATAATTATGACCAACTAATATAGATGTTTAAGAAGTACAGCTACTTATAAGTATAAGAAACTTACTTTCTTTCGGGATTAGCTAAAAGCGCATCCACCACGCTGTTTAAAATATTTTGCACCTGATCATTATAATACTGATTGACAGTTTTTACCCATCCGACGTCATCGTGGCTGTGACTGACCATGTGGACATTAATTTCATCTTCAAACACATCATGACATTTCTAAAACACCAATCACCTCCTAGTCTATCAACACTATTTATAAAATTGTGTTTTACTTTTACTTACGTCAAAACCACAACCAATTACGGTGGTAATCCCACACGCGAACACTACTAAGATATGCACCCAGTCGCATGCTGTATGCAACGATAAGCGCATTTTTATTGTATCAGACACTGCGGTCTGTTATCGCTGCCTGCTGATTGCAATTGAAACAAAAGTATTGGCATACACGAATGATCGCCTATATATATCCAAGCTTCGTTAACGTGAAAAATTGCATGTGCTTGCATGCTACATAGTTTGAATGATTTAATGATGCACACTGGAGTGACTGGATTCGAAGCCTTACTGCCATTACACGCGTCGTCCTACCGTAGATAGTTATGGTGACATGGATAATTATGTTTGCCTCGTTTTAATCAAAGTGCAAAATTTCCTTAATTGTTGCCACTACTACGGTTCACTTGCGCTAGTAAAATAGAATAAATTGTGACGCTCTTTTTAAATTGTTTGCCAATGCAAAATAAACTTGAACTAGTTTGGTTTGTAAACACACAAACTTGCGCATTTTTGATAGAGAATGTGATGCTTTTATCTGCTTTTCTATTCATGTTAAAAAATAATGCCTACAAATGTAATTACTAATGATAGCGTGCGCGACCATACTACATTTATATAGGATGTTGTCCGCATTGCAATATACAGTATATATACAGTATATATACAGTATATTACGATAAAGAATTTAAACAATTTCTGCATTTCGATATTTGTTACCAAAATCATAAATAAGTAAATTAAACTTTTAAAGTATTTAAAGTTAATTACTTATAATTTAACCTATATACATACATACGTATTATTTTTATCAATAATATCATTATTGTTAAAAGTAGTAACAGAAAAATCACATGATCTGAAAAAAAACGTGTTGTGACATTGTTTACTTTGCGTGAACATACATTATAATAATATAAAATCATTTATATGAGTCGCATGATTGTTAGATAACAATTTACTGTATTGTGGTAAAAAATCTAGATTGATTGTGGAAAAACAATAATAATATATAATTTTGAAAAAATAATTATTATATATTTACATATATCTAATTAAATATTCAATTACCGGAAGTACACATTTAGCATTTAAAAATTTTTAAAACTAAATCCGGTTGCATAAATTCAACTGTCAGTTATTTTAAGAGATGAAAAATGCTAATAATGCACTTTTACGCCTTCTCATCCAAAAATAATTGAATTTTGTAATAAAAAGTATCCTATGTTCTTTACAATACTCATGAAAATATGTGTACCAAATTTCATGTTGATCGGTTAAGTAGTTCCCACGAAAATGAGTAACAAACAAACAAACAAACAAACTGACTTTTGAAATTTTAATATTAATAAAAATTATGAAAATTTGCTTGCAAAGTAATAGTATACTTATCATATTTTCCTATAAGCTCTAAAATTCGATTCCATACTTTAAAACAAAGCCCTGACATTGAAAACAAGTTTACATTTCAATAGCACTATTTTATCGTTTGATCTTGTTTGATCTTTCAAAAACAACGTTATACTTAAATGTGAATTCAAAACACGACAAACAGTTTTTTACGATTGCTATTTTTTTACCTGGGTTTAACTGGTTTGATTTGTTTCTTCCTCGACAGCTTACAAATATCACGTGATTTGAACTCTAAACATATTAAACAAAAGTTCCGCCTAATTCCAATGCTACATATTGAGCTTGGCAATATTAACGACAGAAACCGAGTTAACTATATAAATACAAACTGCATAAGAAATCTTGATATTGTCAATGCTGCAGAAGAAATTTAGAAATATTGTTTAGTTTGTTTTTGAGTGTAGTAACTTCAACACGCGCTTAATATGAACACGGTGTGTTATAATAAAATAAAAAGTATTAATTGAAGTATTTTTAATTAACGTGCATTGTTTTCTAGCAGATAACGTCTGTTTTCGTCATTGTTGTGATTTTAAGCGTATTAATGGTCACCCACTCGTTGCCACTTATCGGAAAAGAATTCGGTGGACCACTGGCCAATACAGGATATGGACCTCCGCCATTCACGACGTCATTCTACTCGGATCCTGATTACGGAATGGCACTCAAAGACTACAAATATTTGTATTAATAAATAATTAATTTTTGTGATCAGAAAAGTTAAATCATGTTATAGTACAAAATGAGTGGGTATGGACGTGAATTGCAAGGTTTGATTTGCAAAACAATGGATGAATAAACCAGGAAAGTAATAAAAACTTCATTATTTCCTATGAATACATTTCGTGTTAACTACAGAACTATCAGATAAGTACAAATGGGATTTTCTACCATACCATGAAAATTAAAACAGTTTGTGATCTTTATTTCAAATATCAACTCAATATATATTACGGTAGACACTAAACTTAAAAACTTTGATTAGGTGCCATAATAAGCAAGTTTAATATGGATCTTAAATATTAATATAAATATTGTCGTATTGTAGGGTTCTTGATGTATTTCTGTGAAGAAATTCTTGGTCCACAGTAAAAGGTCTTATGTCATTTATTTTATTTTCTTGGTTTTGCTATCGCCGCCAATTAATTCAAGGACAAAATAAAATTCAATGTCAATTTACCAGTTTTCCTGAATAAAAATAGAAAAAAAATAGGTTCCAACAAAAATTCAAAAGTCCATTTATCAACATTTGTTGGCAACAATAAAGAATATCTCTCAAGAAAAATACTTCAAGAACATTAGTGTATGACATATCGTTCGTAAATTAGAAATAAAAGAAAAATTTCAATGTTATTCTTATGGGAAATTCAAAAGTCCAATAATTAATTTTAGGTATTTATATTTAACTCGTTTATTTTAGCTGCTAAACAAGAAAAAGAAGATATTTTTGAAAAATAATTATTTTATATGTGTATTATGTGTATGTAAGTTAAGAGATAATGTTGCATTGCGTTGTTATATAATCTGAAATTCTTAACTAAAGGTGTAACAACGCAACACCCACTCGATTACATAAACGTTGGTCAGTTTGTGCGATGTACACATAGCTGACACACAAAGCCGTTTGTCGTCATCGTTTTACTCACGGTACACGCACATTGTGTGTACGGTCGAATGGCGCATGGCCAATTTAATCAAATCAATGCATACAAATTCATCTCTTACACGAACAATGTCATAAGCTTCAAGCAAACGTCTGCACATTGACACACATGTCTAGGACGCTTATTATACTTTTGGCCGGTAAACAACCCACAACACATCCTAGCACTCTATCGTCATTGAGTATTGATTGTCTGACGGCTCTTTTGCCACATCAATGCGTATTTATAGACGTCACAGCAAAGACGTGTGAACGATCAAAGCGACAGAAATAGCCCTAAGATTCAGACTGCAAATTGCCCAAATTAGGGCCTACTACTCTTGTATTCAACTCATAAAAACGTTAATATTATCTGGTTCATCATGAAATTAATATAGCTTATTTTAATTCAATGAAGAAAGTTTGTTTAGAGATATATCTCAATTTCCGTTTTGTGATTATGGTTTTGATTTCTTGCTCTGTTTAGTTACGCTCTGTTAACAGTTATTTCATGCATGTGTACAAAATTAAGAGAAGAGTTCAAAACTTTGACATTTTGCCTAACTGTTTCTAGTTTTAAATGTCAACTTTTTTTAGTGTGAGATGGTGAGTATATCCACGATTTACAACATGCATTTTAATATCACGATAAATAAAATATTTATTTAAAACCATTAAACCTCTACATTTCAGCAATAATTATTCTTCGTGAATATGTAGATTACACATATGTGTACTCCAGACAACTTTATACGAGTACGTAATCGTTTTATTTTTATTTGCTAAATTATAGCTTTATCTGGCTTCAAATTGGACTGATTTCAAATAATCTTGCATTGGCTTGACGTTACATGATAATTCGCCCCGACAAGTCATTAGACGATAAATTAGTCGTCCTTGGATTATTTCTAAAGGATCGTCGCTGAGTCAATTGAGTGCAATTAGTATTTACAACAATTGTGTGAAAGCAATGAAGGCGTCTTAATTGTGAGGCGAGATGAACGCAAAACTAGTAACCCCAGGTCGTGGTTCATGATGGTTGATATGGCGACCAAGAAGTGTCATTGTTTCGTAATAAAATCTTAATAGTATATATGTTATCGTGAATGTGCGTTTGGGAGGAAAATGTGTACATTTGCCTGGTGAATTGCCATTGCATTTTGAAAATTTGGAATCAACGTACATTTCCCATCGGTAAATGTACATTGAACGTAACATTTTTCCAAACTTAGGCCTTTCTAAAGGCCTTTCTAAATATACCTGTACCCGTATCAGCCACTACCCTAAATATTTCCTTAAATGCCGCAATTTTTAATGCCTTCATTTGCCAACATTTACGGAGACACTACTAATGTAATTCACATTTCTCAGTAAATGAAATATTTGCATTTTCATATTTTATGTACATTCACAGTAATATAGGCTCAACAAGTGGCAGAGGTGTAAAAAATGATAAAAACATCTCGAAAATAAAAAGTTACTAGGTACTTGAGTTTCAATAAATGCTCTATTTGATAATCATTTTTGTGTTATTGTGATATTATTTTTGCATTACTAAATTTTATTTTTATTTAATTCTATTCATTTAAGCCCTTAAGTATATTTTTGAGTTTTATACTATCCTAAATAATTGTGAATTTATAAATTAATAAATTATGTATACTTTACGATTTGCTCGAGTTCTTGTACCTCGACGAGGGTAGCTCGTGATCGCACACGCAGCATGAACTAAAACGTGCAATTATAAGCCATACTTTTACGCGACATGCGGAAGCAGGAAAGTGCTTCTGCGTCGCGTTATCATCGTGCGGTTGTTCGCGTTCTTCAAGAGTTTCACGCGCCACGACGGCAAGATACGCGCAAACGACATGTGTTTCCATTGTGTGCGCGATCGCATGCATCGAACGCGACGTCGCGACGCGCGTCCTGCACGGACTGTATGATCGTGTGCGGTGTGCGTACCTCTCGGGCAGTGGAAATCCAACTCTTACATTGACGATATCGACATGCCGCCAGATTTTTGATTGATAGCACGTTATACGGCCACGTGCCAATACCTCATCTCATGCTTCGCGTGTCTACCATGTGGCAATAACAAAACAGACCTTTTACTCGCCACACTTGCTAATTGCTGAACAATCTCGAAGTTGTCGACTCAATTGTTTTCCATTTTCCTTCCAGAACATTCGTATATTTATTTATTTTTATTTAAAAGCTTAAAATAACAATGCTTAATTATTTGAATTAATGCAATAATACGTGGAGAAGAAAACAGTTTAAGATACAAGTGGTAAGGAAGAGGAACAGGAACACGTGTACTTTATATATTTTTCAACTGCATTATTCATGCATTTATGATACAGCGAATAATACTTGAATACACGTGGACACGGTTTCGGTTACCTAAGCACTTAATTTGCAGTTACAATGTATGTATACCTTCCAGACGCGAATAGCTACTGTGCCACATGCCCATGATCATATTTATAGCCAACCTGTAATTCGTGTACGAAGGAAGACCTAATGTTACGGCATTTTTCTCAAAAACAAATTTATAAAGATTTTATCTAAATCAATGATTAACTATTTATTAAAAATAACGCAGTCATTCATTGAAACTGTTTTAAATTATTTAAAATGTTGTTACATTGCACTCCTGATAGTTGAGTTGTTTACGAATACTAAATCACTATATGATCCTAATTCTAAATAAGAGTAGTCTAAACGCCAGAGTCAAAAGAATTATTAATTTTATAAGTGTATTCATCGATAATTTCTTTTTTGTAAAGAACTAGCATAAATCGACGCGTCAATTCGTCTTCTGAAATACGCCCAGCAAAAAACGAATACAAGCTTTCCAATAAGGTCTCTTTGACATAGACTCACATGTTTATATAATAAATATGAACCAAATGACGATAGTGTGGAACATAAGCAAGATTTTGTTAGGATAGATCAAGACAAATTTACTAATTATATAGCTTGAAAGATCGTACAATTCGAGTAATATTGCGCTTCACAATATGTTCAATTAACTGATAATATACGCAGACATGTGCGTGGGAGTACAACACTTTAGAAAACTCTCGAATATGTTTTGCATTTTCACGTGTTTGGCTCACATTTTTCGTTCCTTAAAATATTGACGAATATTTAATATTAGGAAATATATATAGGCAGTCTATAATTTCTTTTTTTTTGTTAGGTTGTGGTATTTGTTGAGGAGTGTATTCTAGAGTCCATAGATACCATCTTTATAAATCTAGAGTTTAATCTCAACTGATTTCCATTTCAATACTAAATAATTGTAATAATAACATATTTTTAATGACAACTTCCATTGAAATCCATTGAGTGTTGTCTGATTTTTGTGATATTTAATTTTTTGTGCTATTTTGTGATATTTCGCAAGCTTATTTAAGGCTTTAGTGGAGGAATTATGTAGGATACGTTTACAGAGCAAGCGGGATAAAACAAAAGACTCAGCCACCACATCCCAGCTCCTGTACATCTGACACATGCAGTTTCTACTAGCTGCACAGGGTTGACTGACCGGGCATGCAGTTCTAGATGCAGGATTTCAACATTACGTAACACACCCCACTAGAAAATTCTATAAAAATATTTTTGAACAATCCTGAAATTTAAAATAAAAATTATTGATTCATTCATTTTTTGTGTCAAATTGCTTCAATGATAATTTTAAACAAACAAATTTATTTGTCGATAGATTGTGGCGATAATAACAAATAATCGTTTAGTTAGAGCCTGCGATATCCTCTGAAGTTCATAGGCTGCTCTGACCTGCGCCCTGACGCAATCACGTACAAACGCGTCTAGCAGGGAAGATATAAATACGGGGTTGACTGGAAGCGCTCTCCAGTAAGCATCGGTAGCTCTGACTGTTCAGAACCAACTACCCCTGAACATACAATCAGAGCGCAATAACCGTTCTCAACAAAGTCAAAAGTATATATTTAAAGCAAAATGTCAGTGAGTGAAAATTCAATGATGCTGATGACGTTGAACACCGATAGCCGGAGTATTTCACCGATGACGCCGTCGCCTTCGCGGGAAATGCGCGGCATCCGACTTTTCCGCGCAATCAGCCGCAAACTTGCGCGTCGTGGTGGCGTCAACCATCAAGATGACTACGAAGACGACAGCCGTTCTTCCAGTACTGACTCTTCGGGTAAAGGCAACAGTTCATCAGGCGAATCTGGTTTCCGTTCCGTGTCTCCACATCACATGTCCTCCAGCAGCAGTGAAACCGGAAGCGATAAGGTTCGACACCACCTTTCCACATCAGCGGAGAGCATCCGCAGAGTGTTCCAAAACCTCAGCATCAACGCAAGGTCAAAAAGCTGCACCAACACTAAAGAGTCTAAAAGAAAAGCTGCCAAGAAGTCGCCACCAAAAAAGATTCTTCGCGCGCCAGTGACCTACACGTACGTGAAAGGAATGAGCGGCCTACCGACCCAGCGAGTGCCCAAAACCACAACAAAGATATATCTCAACAACTGCGGCGGATGCAGCTTGCAATATATGGCAGCGCTGCACCGATAAAACTAACTCGTCGATCACTACGAGCAACCGCACTATATCAACTTCTACAAAATTTTAAACAACCTTATGAACTTATGGGCAATATAATTAAGTACACATTCCGCATCGTTCTATGCGCGCCAATCCCTATACGAAGATAAAACTCCTCGAAAAGACTGCCGACTCGACTCGTCGCATGTGGTACTACATACTTTGTACTAATAATAAAGTCGAAAACAATTACGATACTTAACGAATGAAATTTGTACAAAAAATGAAAACAATTTGTAAATAAATCGACTTTTTATATTTAATTGATGTAAAACGGTTAATGACGAACAAGCGTCGTTCGCAAAAATCAATTATACTTAAACAAATATACGATGATTCAAAACACAACATATATCAAACTTGGAATACGAATTGTTTAGATTTTCTGTTGTTGAAAATCTTGTGCACTGAATACCCACTTAAGAGTACTATACACTTTACAGACTGTATCAAGTAGACTGTTGAATTAATTAATTATATTATTGAATACTGTAATTGACACACTATGATATGCACTGTAATCTATGAATTTACATTTATCTAGTATTGTATATGAAACAAAAAACACCGATTTTATTACGAGCTATGCAGTAATAACATGGAAAGAATACAATTGCAACTTGTAATTTTTGACAGATACTATTGCAATAAATAAAACTTTTAAATACATCTAATATCTCTCTTTTTCTTCTCAACACAATCTATTACTTCTTACCTAGAGTATTTTTGGACTAGTACAGACTGTTAATTTAACAAGATTCTAAACGTCGTGTAAATATGCAAATAAAAAAAATTCGCTGATTTTTAAATAAAACAACATGAAAATTATTTTTTTATTGTTTAATACCTTCTTCAAATTACAGCAAGTTTTAAACCATAGTTATCTAAAACAGATTAATTGTTTATAACATGTGCTTATAATAAATAATTTCTCTTTTTTAGTTTTGCCAATATTGAATTATTCCTTAGCAATAAATGACGCAGAATGCAGGTGAGTATAACTGCGTACAATTTTCGAAAGGTTGATGTTTATATTGTAATCAATTGTGACAAGAATAGGCTGACAAATTACATTGTGCTTGATACTTGTTTACGTGAAATTAATGCGCATTTGCGCCCACACCGCAGTCCATCCGAAAGTAAACATGTTATTTTCATATTTACCAAAGACAAATCTTTTGTCGGACTTCATAGTAACCTTCTCAAATTACACCTTCCGGCCTTGGTATCAAAGATAAGGTACATTCAAAACATAGGACCATTATTTTTAGTTTTTATTTGATTTACTAGATTTTATTGGTCTTTAATTACAAATTACTTTAATTCACAAGTAAATTCACACGTGCGTTCATGTATTTTTCGAAGGTAATTTTAAGGTTGATGCCATTTGATTAAAGTGAGTACTCTCTCGATTTGCTACTGCACGCAGTCGTCCAACCACTAATTGCGCACATGCGAAACTCATGCAGACGCGAGTGTTAATTTCAAATTCCAAATTAACTTTTCCACTCAAGTTGATAAAAACATCTTTTCACGAGGAGATGCGATGAACGTACGAGGTGATATGATGTGAACTACCGAAGTGTATATATTTCTAAGTTAATCTCGAGGGACAAACTTTGATTCACTGCTTATTAAAACGGAATTTGATATTGCAGGTGGCAGACGGAAGAAACACTAACATGTGTATAAAATATAGTGGAAACGTAAACATGTTCATTTGCTTCCCATTTCATGAATAGGTGATTGTATCTTAACCATCAAATTTTTGTGTGTGTTTTTTTTTTTTAAGTTGATAATATTGATGTAAATATCACAATAAAAACTTCAAAAACAAAAAATTAACTTAAGTTAATTAGATATATGCTAAAATCTCCTAAAATTACTAAGTTTGATACCAGAAGGTTTAAATACACGTGTCAAAGGTAAAAACTTGGATAACTGACGTTTTTGAACGTTTTTCTAAAACAATTTTATACTTATGTCTATGATATAACCCAAATATGTGAATTTATCTGTTAAAAGCTCGCGATTGTAGATGTAAAACAAAGTAAAAAATGCATATGCACACATTGGCCGCCGGGGCGACGAAGAGAACACACCAGGCGGCGGCGTACTCCGATGAGGATGTACGTATCCGTGCTGGATTCTGCATGCATCGCACCAAAACACACGGCGACCTCGGTCCAGGACAGCGTTCCACTTTTCGCGACCTACTTCCGAATGGCGCACACAGGCTCACGTGTCAAAGTTACGTCACTCGGTGGGTACTCTGACGTCATTAGAAGCGGTTCTTTGTTGCTCGGGCGACGGCCCTATCGTGAACATATTTAGGTCGTGCACTTTGTATTTTGCAATACTGTGCCACTACACCACCCTGTGCTACATTCATCTCGCGGGCTACCTAACGAGCACGCGCCGTTCGCGAACGCATACGTTGTGCTCGTCATCGTCGAGGGGCCGATTCAGTATTTTATTAATGGCGCAAAAACGTGGTATTGATAAAGAATTTACCGGAAGGATATATTAAGATATGCGGCAGATACTCACAAGTCATATGCAAAAATTACTTTAAAAATATATTATAATGTTGCATCCACCAATATTCGTTTTTTTTTAAATTATTGTAAAAACACAAATTTGAAAAAAAAATCACATAAACATATTTTATAAGTGATATTCTTCAACAAATATTATTCTATACTTACTTATTATCATACTCACTTATATAAATCATTATTATTTCATGAATTATACATTATTTGAATAAATTAAATTAAATAATTAAACACATGATCCAATAAACTTTAAAATCAAACGAAATAACCTATCAAGTTCGCGCACGTTCGATTCCACGTTAATCCATGTTCCAAGAATTGTTCTCTTCTTTAATATCTTGTTATTTTCAACCAGATCCCATAATTAGAAAAGTGCGCGATCACATATCAAGTAAAATAAATGCTTCATGTTCGCTCTTTCCACGTCACAACTTGCACAGGCGTCTCGTGATTTTTACTCACGTGTTCCGAGTTCACGACGTGTAATATTTCCGTATCAACGTGCAATTCCTGTCCATAAACTCAAACTCGGAGTTCCAAGTTGCAATTAATAAGCAAACAAGTAAACCAACTACGCAATTCACCGATTGTCACGAGGATTATCCACGTGATTTGACTTCTGCATCATATGATCTCAAATTAACAATTAGCTTTAAATTGATTTTGTTTTTGTGTGAATTTAATTAATAAAAACAGCTAATAATCGCATTTATGATATTAAGGACATAGTTGTTCAAACATGAAAGCAACTCACGAACACGAATAGGCTGGGCAAATCGGTGCGGGTGCGAAGGGATGGCCGGGGTGGTCCTGTGACGTACTTACGGTATCATTGAGTAGGGAACCAGCATGACCTAGTGACCGACTCATTCAGCCGCGCCCGACTCCAACCCAAGCCCGGGCTAAATATAGATCCCGAGCGGTGCGAGTCAACGACCCTCTCTCAAACAAACACATCGTCCTGCCCAGCAGCCCGCTGTTGCAATTGTTGAATGCGCAGGCGCGACACAATTTCGATCCAAGGATAAAACTGCATATTTACACAACCAGCTTTAACTAAAAATAGACCAAATTCACATACGAAACAAAACCCCTTTGAATTATATCATAGTTTAAGCTTTAATTTAAGCTGTTATTAATATTTGGTAAGAGATATTATAATTTTTATAAAATATTTAATTGTTTTAAAAAGTGAACTGATTTCGACTTTTTAAAATTTTTGCATTGATCTGATTCATTTGTTTATATTAAAAGGAGTAATTATAACAAACGACCAGAAATCTGATGCAGCACTGAATGAATATTTCAGCAGCACCGTTGTAACCTACTTTCGGAAGCAAGCGGTGCGATGCCAAGGACCAGGAAACGCCGAAATCGGGACGTTGCCCTGCAAAGCTCCTCCCCTTGATCCTCTATATATTCGCGCCTGCAGGTTCCAAAAATATCACCTACAGAATTATCATATCTCTGAAACTAGTGTTAATGTGTAATTAACATAATACGTCTTTTCTTCGATGAAAATAATAAAATCAATGCTACCATGCAACAAAACCTGAATAGCCTACTTTTACAGGACTTCAGCACCAAGGACGCATTGCGTCGTCCTGAATATCCATCCAGTGATGCTACGCTTCCTGAATTGCGTCATGACCTGGTTTCATTCAACTCTCAGGCCGCGGATACTCCCGCTCCAGCCTGAAAATACGCCGCAGCTTCGCTCTCAGTCACGGCGGCTTATAGCTCCTGTGCTAGACAATGTGATGCGCAATCGATGGCGGCGGTAGCACAACGGGGCGAATGAACTTGTGACGTCGTCATTGCACCGTTTCTGAATGATTTGGTCGGCAGGACTTGCTCCCATTGGCGGCTGCGTTGTGTGCACATTAAGACAGCAGGAGCGGGTCGCGGGGTATGTGGATTATCATCAATGTCGATCGACGTTTTAACTTATTGCCTGCTGTTAAACTATTAATCGTTTCAAAACTAATGAATGGAAGAAGAGCATTCTTACTAGTTTTATATAGTTTTATAGGCAATATTTTTGGTAAAGATAAATTTTGGGAATTCTCTTTATAATTATTCATCACGATTCTTAAGAAAAACATGCATAATTTTTTTTTGTTTTTTTGGAAGAGCTGTTGTTTCAAACCATTAACCCAATCCAAAATATGGTCCATCTATAATTCCTTTCCCTTCCAGGTGACGGGGAATTTAAAATTAATGTTATTTGAATATTTTTACGATGATATTACGTTTTGTTATTTTTTTCCTTCAGATTTGAGTTGAATATAGAATCATGGTTAATGAAATGTGAAGCCGCAGTTTTAAATGATCAATATTTTTATCAGAATATAATAGTACTTTAAACAAGAACTGCGCATAAAGATAATTGAAAATCTGTTTGTTTTTTTTAACCATTTTCTTGACAACGTCATTTGACGGAATCGTGAATCACTAATACACAAGAATATTATATTTCCAATACAATACCAATCAATATACACGTGATTTGGCCATTTCAATTACTATGAATGAGCGAAAACACTCCAATAACGATAAGTTCATATATCGATACATGCTTCCCAATATTACCTAATGTATCCTCCCACTCAAAATTTAGTGTTGTAAAATAAGTATCTAAAAAAGTGAAACATAAATGAAAATTTTCAAAACTCAGTAAAAATCATTAATTATTTCAAATAATCATGCACACGTACTTAGGTACTTTAAATAAACAATTAATCGTCTTTGTAGGTATGATCTATGATCAATGCATTAGTGCGTCAGTCGTATGTCTAGAACGACTCAGATCAAAGCAAAAACGTGACTAAATTTAAGACGTGTCATCCACATAGAGGTTGTAGGAAAACGACATGGAACTTCTAATGTTTCAATCCAATTTAATTAATGTAGCAAGATTTCTCAGTACCGCGATAATTATTATTGAAAACGAACACCACTGTGAATACGCATCACTTCTAGGTTTTCCAAATTAAAACTTTTGTATATCGTAGGTTGAATCAATTGATCAGATGGTAATTTATTTGACAAATGAGATTTTTAGTATTCTTACTACCCTGTCTGACCAATATAATCATGCGGAAGAAGAAATACACAGGAAAAAAGAAAATTGCCAGTTGCTTATTTTCTCCCCTGATTTGTTTGAAAACGTACTTGGCTGAGTCTTGGCTGCATCAACCTTTCATTTATGCTTAACAAGCTCACCAGGATGCGCAGAATAATAAAGTTAATAAAGTAATGAATAGCCGGGACGGCGGGTAGTATGGGGCAATTGACGATATTAAAAATGCATGATTATGCCTCAATGATATTTTTCTATACGCAGCAGACGACTAGAAAACACAAATTACGCAAACAATTTTTTGCTTCTACTGCTACAGAAAGATGAGATATGCTTAAACACATACTCGTCTTTTGATAATATACTTTGCCAAGCCTAACTATGATGATTAACTTATTTGATAAGCTATGTTTCTTTGTACTGGGAATCTGTTTATTATATTTTAAAATTAAAATTACGTTAGTGTTAAGATGCACGTATTTGCCTAACATTCGCACATGCACCCAAGAAACTAGAGACCGTAGAAGTCCATGCAAGCACGTTTCATACTCTTTTGTGAAATTATTATATTCTTTGTTAGGAACTCCTGAACGCAGACAGAAAAAAATAACTCATCAGCCATAAATTTGTATTTTACAATTACAATGAGTCAAACAACTTTAATATTTCAAAATTATCCAAACAATCAAAAAACGTTGTTTGGAAAACTTTCATTACTGTACTTGTACTTTTCTAGGTATATTTACAGTACAACATAGGTTATTTTGTTAATTACTCAATATTTTTAATTTTATTCATAGTTTTGCAACACAACATAGTTTTGCACATTTATCTCCCAATGCACATTTTCAGTAACATATAAAAGCCAAAGAAAAACGCTTTAATCTTTCAAAAAAATCGCTGTTGAACGATTCAAGTAAAACCATTGCAAATCAATGCATCGGTTCGTCTAATCCGATGTGCATAGTCATTTCGACTATTAGATCTTATCAGTAGGTACACCTACTGATTTGACTTGCCACAGCTTTATATCCAACGTACCTAATTATAAAGCTTTTTATTTTACTTATATGTAAAATTATAAAAATATGAATAAATATATCTTCCTAAAAACCACTAGTTAATCAGTATTATTATTATTATTCCTCGTTTTCTACGTCATTCCTTAAATTCATTGATTTTATATAATCAACAATTGGTATTGGACTTACGACACTCAATTTAAACGAGAGAACAAATTGAAAATCAACAACGGTTGGGTTTAATTTAAATTCACGTATTATCAGTGGGTGTGACGTAATACATCCAATTGGGAACCAATTTATCGAGGTATAATCTTTCCTGGTAATTGTACTATTGTAACTATAACAAAACACCCACCTGATAAATTTTGAACTAACCAGTAATACCGTGTATTTGAAACCAACAAATAGAATCAGAACTTGTGTAATTGTTGACTGAGTGGTTACAACTAACAAACGCTTCCTAATAGATTACCAACTCTTCTACATCGCTCAAAAAATAAATACACATTGAAAACATCTGAATAATACCAGGTTATTGTTTTCTAAACAAAGAAGCATATCCGTAAATTTGTGGTTGCTCGTGTTTTCGTGTGGTGTGTGGTATGTATTAATATCCAGACACCTGAACCTGCCGTATGTTGCCGTACATACGCCAATGGCACGCGTTGAAAAGCGTGTTTCCACCGTTGCACATGGGGCACACAATCGACGACGACGACTGCGACGACCGTCATAGAAAATCAAGCAGCCATAAAGCCTTGCCTTAGCATTGAACGTCGCGAACATGTCATCTGTCTAAAACATTCGCGTGGCATTTCTAGAAATGCAGGACGATGTTTTTTGCAAGCGGTAAACTTTCTCACTAAACATCGTGACCACCTCGACAATAAAAGAATTCACATTTACTAACACGTGAAATCGACTTGATCGTGTGGTACGTGTGTGTAAACTCATTTTTGTTTAATCAAGTTTACTTTCAGCAAATTTAACAAATTGCACTCTCATAAGAATTCAAATTTAATTATTTTTTTTTAAATTTTATGGTAATTTTAACAAAGTTAAAATCACAAATATTTGTATATTATTTATTCTAACGTACAGGAGAAAGAAGAAAATAATTAGCAACGAATATTGCGGCTATTGTTGCCAGCACACGCGCCATCCAAAAACTCGAAACCTTCAAAGTCGAGCCGAATTGCTGTTATTGGAATTACCTGGTAAACTAAATTTCTAACACCAAATTCGTGTCAACACGATGTTGACATCTGAAACGGACGTTATTACATCTTACAATACAATTGTTTTGGGCAATCAAACAAAAATAGGAGCACACAATACAACAGGGCCGCGCGTGGCAGAGAACAAAAGAGTTTCGAATGATCAAAGCCAATAGGCAAATGAATTTGATAATTTTAGGGGTGTTCTGAATCAGATCAGATTAACGGATTGATTTGAAGTTACTGTAAGCACATAACTCCTTCGGTGTGGATTATGACAAACAAGCCGCGGTAATATAACGCGGAATTAAAGATTATGACTTGATTTGATAACCAAAAATTGCCATTGAAACAGAAGGAAATTACGCAGAGATTATCGTCACATAACATCCATTCATACTGGATGCTGTGTGTTACAATATCTGCGCCTTTGTTTAATTATTGAAGTGACTTAACCAGATAAATTTCGTAAGCAATAATACATTCATAGAACAATAGTTTATGTATATCAAGTTCCTTGTTTACGGGTGTGATGGAAATACTGTTTTTCAATCTGAACGGAATATTGGAATATAAGCGCAGATATTAGTTGAAAATAGCACAACTGCACTAAGTAATAGACAGGATTGTGGGATGGTCATTGTTATGACTCCTACGCACAATGTAAATACATCTTTGTTTGCCATTTCGTTTGAGACTTGTAAAAACCAAATAAGATCGTAATATACTTGGCAAATGAATGTTGTTTATAACAAATAAATTCTTTCACGTTAATTTAAAGACACACCAACGAATCTATCATTAAACGATTGCAACTGAAACTCAAATTGTGTTTAAATCAATTGAATTAACATTATGCATTCATGTCAATTAACAATGAGTTGGATGCATAACAGTTATGCAATGTATTCACTTGTAAACTACCAATTAGCAATTGCACTACAATCTAGTATTATTCAATTCAATTCTGAATGTTATGACGTGGAGAAAAGCAATGGATAACTTCACTTAGTCAAAAAAGCGATTTTAGCTATTGCTTCTACCAAATCTACTCATCGTCAAGTGAATTAAATTTTATATGCCTACTTGGAAGAAGTGAGAACAAAGCGATGAAAGTCATATTAAGATTATTCTGACAAGATGTCATTTTTCTAGAAGAATATTAAAGTACAAAAGTAGTATGAGTATTAGAAATACTTTTAATTGACCTAAGTTAGATACAACTTTTTCTTTATCTATATAGGTACTCTTGAGTCCCTTGTTTGGTTACCTGGCGGCGAATTGTAATCGGCGAAATGTAGTGTACCTACTCTGCCTTGTATTATATACAATGTACTTGTATAATTTGTATTTTTAGCATTGGATTCAGTATCGTCTTAAACGGAAAATAATTCGTATTTTCCTATCAAATTAATAGCTTTGTACATTTTGAAATGATTAGAAAGGGCTTATCAATATTTCACCCTATTAAAACAACAGCGCATATGTATTGAAACTAGTTATTTTTTTATTTTTTTGACTTCCTCCTATAACACGCCAGTTCTTAGACACAAATAGTGATACAATGTATACGGAGGGCCAAGCCGAGAGTAAAGTACTTTACTTACGGGCATTATCTACGGGGCGGAGCTTGCATCTGCACATTTGCCTATGATGCAGCTCATGCAGCATTAGACGCCAGTCCAACAAGTCAAAACATGCGCTGTTGCTGTTCGTGTACGCACGACTACATACCGACTATCTAACAACTGGCACCGATAAGTGCGCTTAGAATTTAATGCAAATATGTGCATTTTAACGTCATCTTGGCTTAATGTATAGAATTATTGATAGATCCTTTGCTATTTACCAACAAGTAAATAATTTTGGGGTACACGGTATTTCGACGTGGACAGTTTGCCCCGAAACGTTTTTCCACGAACGTTTCTCCGCGAGACAATTCGCCGCCAGATAAATAAACAAACGACTCATCTGAAAATCTAAAATCATATTATTACTGATTTCAATCAACTACATTAACAGCTATTAGTCTACTGAAAACTGATGAAAATATATTCGAAATACATCCACTAACCCAATGTATGTAAAAGATTCAAGATTGAATGCATATAATAAGTTTAATATTCTCTTATATTCCGCGGAATGGTTAGATAGAAACATGAGTCGCTTATTTATTTATCTGGCGGCGAATTCTCTGCAAATAAGTCTTGCGGCAAATTATTTGCGAAGAAACGTTTCGCGTAGAGACATCTCGCGGCGAATAAACTGAATTGTTGACGGCGAACTGTTGGGTTCCGTCACAATAACACAAAAGGTAAATAACAGGAAAATAAAAGATAACATAGTTCAGGGTCTTGAAAAATCCTCTCAATGTTTTGATCATCCAGAAGTATAGAATTTTTGATAATGACGACTACGCTTCAACAACAAGTCTTTGCTTTGGATGCAAAGTACAATGCACATAGAGCCAAACAAAGCCCTAATTATCGTAAGTTTTACCTACATTCATCAACAAATCAGAATAATTAAATAAAGAATTATTGCCAGGTACCCTTTATATTAGAAGACGTTGTCAGTTACTTAGGGACACTGATAGGGATGTAGATCAATGGAAACAATACTTACGCTTAAGATCTACATTATTACAGCAAAGATATGGTGCAAATATTGCAGTAAATGAAGAGTTCAATTCTTTTAAAAAGACCATTTCAAAGGTAAATTTTTGAAAATGAAATGTTGTTCTATAGAATCATATCCCCAATTTTAGAGTTCTTCAGTAGGCAGCTGGAAAGCATCACCAAGTGGACATGTTATTCCAACAATACATGCTGAAGCATCAAAAGCTATTGTTGGTGGTAATACATTAACAGATAATTATGCTTTTAAAGGTGTGCATCATATTTTTGACCAGGTATGTCAGTAATCAAAGTATTAATCTGGACTCTAAGTGTTATTTATCTTCAACAAATTTTAAGCATACTGCAGCTGTACCAATGATTAAATTTGCCAACAATGATAGAACTCTCCTTTGCTGTTCATCAGTAGATGCAAGTTTATCAATCTGTGATGTATCCTTACAACCACCAAAGGTTGTTACTATGTTAAAAGGGCACCAGCAGACTGTAACCAGTAAGTAATACAGAGCATATATAGGTTTTGTTATAAATTGTATGTAATTGACCAGGCTTTGATTGGTCAATCAACAATGATTTAATTGTGAGCTCTTCCATGGATTGCACATTAAGGATGTGGGACTCAGCTAGTGGCAAATGCTTACGTACGATTCAAGATCCGAACGAAGCACAATTATTATGCTGCATATTTCAGCAAATGAATAACAACTTAGTAATTGTTGGGAATAGCATTGGACAGATGAGAGTTGTAAATATATCAACTGGAATATTCACACCCAATAAATGCATTGTTGGTGGCAATGTGTTAAGCTTAGCTTCACAGACAAATGGAAAAATAGTGTGGGCGGGCAATGATAGAGTAAGTATATATAATAATGCAAAGATTGGAATACACACGATTGTTTGCAGGGTGAAATCGTGTCAACAATTTGTGATATCAATGGGAATCTGCAATGCACCCGGAAATTAAGTTTAGGCGCATGTTGTTCAGTCACGAGTCTAAGTTATCGGGCATGGATCAGTCGTGAAGCCAGAGATCCGACATTGCTAATTAATTGTAGCAACAACGCTATCTGTCTCTTTCGGTAATTAACAAATCAATTTTTCTTCATCATGTATTGCATTGTAAATGTATTAATAATTATTTTGCAGGATTATTAATAAGGACGGAGAACTGAAATTAAAACGAAAATTCGAGAATAGACATCAGAAACATCTGGTTAGGTCAATATTCTGTCCAATTATGTCATTTAGGCAAGGTGCATGTATTGGTAAGTGAGTTGTTCTTAGTATTCTTTAGGTGATTAATTTATTGATCTCTGCAGTTACCGGCAGTGAAGACGGAAGCGTTTATTTCTTGGATATTGAGCGGACAGATGGCAAAGCGTGCGTGAATACATTGCAAGGCCATGCATGCGCTGTTCTGGGCGTTTCTTTTAATTATGATGAATCACTGTTGGCAACCAGTGATTTGGAAGGATTGGTGATAGTGTGGAAGCGATCGGACGTTAAAAGCTAACTGCAACATATTTTGGTATTTATAATTATTTATAATATAAGTATATTATACATCTACAACTACAAAGATTCAACCGATCACATTTTGTATTAGTACTAACCTCTTGTACTACAAATCTACATAATAGGGTATAATATATAATTATTTCATTCATTAGAGGGGGAAGGTACGATTAGAAAATTTGTAATCAACGACACCGTACACATTAAAATACTGATTAGATCAGCCTACAAATTCCATTAATACGGACAAGACAGGACGTACATTTGTGTAAAATTGATTAAATTGGTTGCTTTAATCATATTGATTTTTTCTATTGGCTTAGTGTTAACTTCATCGTTATGAGAAGTAAAAATAAAATCATGTCAAATGTTCGCTTGATCACTAAGTATTCTTCCGTGTTCTTTATGTATATTTGATTAATTGTTAGATATCACAATAGATAAGAAATTAATATTAACTTCACTGTAAAAATTCCCAAATGATCACAATTGAAAACGTTAGTACCAGCTTGCTATATGCCTCGTCCCTACACTCGGGTACGGTTATTCCCGAAACTCCTAATACTTTTGAATTTAGCACATCTGAGCGAGGTTATCCATAAGTGCGGAAAGTACCTCTTACTCGCTGACCTCGGAGACATTCTTGCGCTCCAATGTACATGACTCGATGCCACTATCTTCGTCAGCGCTGTCCAGCAGACTAGCCTCGCCGCGCACAACTTCGATTCGACTCTTATCCACATGCCCATTAAGATCATTCTTGATCAACTTCGACATTGGTTTGTACGGTAGCGCTTCGAAGGATACGTTGCTCTTGCTATCCACATTCGTCGATGTATCGACCTGTTGGACGACAAAGCGACTTTTTCCGAAGGTGGTGAAGGTCGGAATCTGTCGCGGCATTAGCGGTACCTCAGGGGACTCTACAGAGAACGACTTCGATTTGGTGAAGGCATTCGGACTCGGGGGCAGATCAAGTTTCAATCGGTTGCGCGTATGCCGCAGCCCGCCTATTTCGTTATTGCCAACGTTGACGTTCTTGTTTGCAGCGAGTTGCGCTAACGTTTTCAAGGGGAGTATTTGCCGATTCGGACGTACATAATCAGATGAATCGCTCATGCTGCCCGGCGTAATGTCCTCCACGCCGCTGTCCGGAGTCACGTTATCGTTGTTCTTCGTCAAATCGGACCAATCGCAATGTTTGCCGGGGAAAAATTGTGATGTGGCCGAGCCAAGCATATCGAATGGTTTGGCAGACGAACTTATGTAAAAGTCGTCATCTAAAGTAGAAGACCCTATAACCAGAGACAAATTATCAAACTTTTTCAATAAAAGTCAATATATGGGTGCAATTTTACTGAACTAATCAGTGATTTCTATACTTGAGAAAACAATGTGTTTCAACCCATGTGTTGTCTCAAGTTTTAACAAATAATTTAAAGCAGGGAAAATAATAAATCTTGAGAAATCCCTGATTTAAATTAGTGTGTGTATATAAAATAATAAATATGTGTTATGATACCTGTAAAATCGTAACTTATATGCTGGTTATGTATGAGATTTAAATCACTAGAACTAGCAGTCTCATGATAATCTGATGTACCAGGCAAAAACGGATCTGAATTCCTATCTAAATCCCAATCTACCAAACAAAACAAATCACATTCAATGTAAATGGTTATTTAGTATTAATGTAGACGTAACGTGCATATCACCATCAAATTCACATCTTATCGTTATTTATGTCATGCATTAAATCACAATAATAAATCTCTCAAGAATTGTCTCACCTATATAACTAGAATCTTTCCATAAGTCATAGTTATTTACAACCGTTGACTCCGGTTCCCTAGGATATTCATACACACAGTGATACTTCTGTTTCTTGAACGACACGCCTCGATTTTTCTTCATGTTGCTATCCAAAGATTTCTCCGGCGAACGCAACGCTGACTTTGTTGGAGTGGCGAATTTATCCCATGCGGAGGGAACGAACTCAATACCATCACCATCTTCATCACTACAGCTACTCGTGTCTTCATCGTCCATTAATTCAATTTCCTTTGTAGCTTCCTGTGTGTAAGGATATTAACATTAATTAGATATAAGTAAATAGAGTAGTCAGCACAACATACAGCTTGTGGTGCAGCCTGTAATGCCTTAACCGATGCCTCGTGTTCGCCTTCTTTCCAAATAAATTCCCCACTCGAACTGGATCTAGTGTCTGAACCGCTGTCCCAATCATGCTCGTCGCCGAGATCGTTGCTCTCGCTGAACGACGTCGTCATCATTTGAACGTCGCCGGGTCCCGAAAATCGAATATCACCCAACGGGCAATAATCTTCGTCGTCAAAACTATTATTCCCATTGACGTTTTCATACTCGACTCCCTCCGATTCATCGCCAGCGACGCTCTCATAAACGCGATCGTCTTCAACTGCATCGTTCACGTACGCTGGTACCTCGTACGAATCATTGGCGTATAAAACCTTGCCGCTGCAAATATCCGGCTGTTGCGATTCAATGCAATCGTAGATATCATCTGTTTGTATACAGCTGAGCGTATTCTTAACATTCATTTCCTTCTCGTAAGCATCTCCCTGCATTTTAAACATAACCGGCTCAGGTCGTATTTCAACATAATCGTAAAGATTTAAAGAATTATCGGCATGCGGTGGCACTTCAGGGCATTTTGTGAGTGAAGCCTCTATGTGTTTCCACGGTCTATCTTCAGGCGAGTTAAGCGGCGCTACGTTTTGCAGAGCAAAACAAACAGTGTCATTAGCAGTCAAATATTCAGAACTGTTTGGTTGCTCGTCTGTATTTGAGACACGGTGTAGCGAAGCGTTCCGTTCATTGTCGATAAATTCCTGAATGACTACTTTGGGAGACGGCATTTGCTCGAACGCTTGCGGCGCCTTCTCGCGTGTATCTACTTTAATTACGGTCACATCAATACTGGATGGCATGCTATCAAAGTTTTCACTTTCGCTGGGCGTCATTGCAGCCTGCTGCATGTCGCAATCGTTATCAGAATTTACATGGGGTCCAGATGATGATGAGTCACTAAGCATCAGCGCGAGATCGACTGCATCATTTACAATTTCTCTTATGCATTGCTCGTTCTCTTCCAGTCTGCGTTTTCTTTCTTCGATTTCCTGCAATTGTTTTTCGTTACATTGAAGTTCTTCAAGATTAAACAACGTATCATTGGAACAACAAGAGTCTTGACTAGGTGTATGTCTATTCTGGGTTCCCTTATGGGGACTTTCCATTAACCTAGGACTGTGAGTATCTTCTTCGAGCGATGCGGGACCCAATCCAGCTTCCGACCAATCGCTATCGCTGTCACTGCCGCCCAAGTCTGTGTTAATTGTGCTAAAATTACCAAAAAATAATTTCATGTTATAAAAATGAAATGAGTCATGATATGTTCACAAAATAAATATAAGCGACTCATAATTTTCATGCCGGTCGTTGTAAAAAAAAACTTACCAATGAGGTGTACTTTGGCCTGAATTTAAATATTCGCTAAAGCTTTCTTCTGGAATTGGTGATAATGGCATATTAAAGCAATTATATCGAAGGAACACTTCATTGCGATCGGTTGTTTCGTACTCGCCGTCCGCTTCCTCGCTTTGTTCACACGCGGCTTTCTGTGCTTGTGGCAACTTGATCATCAATTCATTCCGAATGGCGGCCATGACTTCATCGTCCATACTAAAACGTATGTAACTATCGTCTTTCTGCGACGTATCGATTTCTCCCTGCAGATCATCATCATTGTTATCTTGAGGATGTAAGTACCAACCGCCGGAGTTCTCTGACTCCCAATAACCCGGATTGTTGTAACATTCAACGTCGTCCTGCATATGCAAATGAATATCGCTCGGATCGACGTCCTTAACAAACGTCTCGTTTTCATTCAAAACGATATCATCCGGATTGAATGAATCATTTAAATTCGTATTTGTGGTTTCTATATCACTTTGAATGTGATCAACTGCTAATGGTAACATCCGCGCCGTTTTAACATCGACCTGCTTAACAAATGTTGCATTCGCTTCCTTCTCGATAAATGTTTTACCAAATGTAGTATCGTTCACAGTTTTATCATTTTCTTTCACAAATGTAGCATTCGAGGCTAGTTCCTTCTGTCCTGTGGTATTGGTATCACTACATTCGGGCACTACTTCGTTAAGTTCATTCTGTTTGTCTTCCGTAAACAGCAAACTCATAGGCTCTTCAGAGTAATCATCAAACTCATGCTGTTCATCAAAACTCTTACCCAGAAAGTTGTCCCAAGTTTCTAATGAATATTTTAAGTCGGCTTTTCTAGCATCGGTTGTCGCTTGAGTTGAGGTTGAATCATTATCGGCAGATCGTAATGTCGATACCTTTAGTCGATTGGGACAAGGTGTACTTGTCAACATATCCATGCTAGTCAATGCACCAGGCAAAACCATTTCCCGTTCATCACTCATACATTCACCGGTATTGGAATCTTCATAAACCAATATTTCATTGTTAAGAAAATCTTGTGTCGTTGAAATCGTATGATTCCCAGTCGGCGCCTGTTTTTGAATCGTAGTATCAAACGAGTTATCATTAAGCACACTTTGAAGTGTTTCAATTTGCGCTTTGTGATCATGTTTATCACATTTTAACACACCATCATCGTGATTACCGTTTTGAACTACGTTAGTGAATGTATAATTTGGCACAGTCTCTGTAATTTCGTCGGCATTTCTTACAATTACCGGTTTGTCACAGCAATACGTGCGATCCGACAAAGTGAGTTCGTCGGCGGATTCTGAGTTTTGTTGCGACATCGGTGTAAAGAAGTCCTCCGTTTCATCATCAAGCGACTCCGACAGCGCTTCTTTCTTTGGTGATGATTCGTTGCATGAATTTTCATTCGAGTCTTCTTCTAGTAAGGTGTCGATTACGAGAAGGCTCTTCACCTTCATCGGCTGATCCGATGCGCTTGTATTGTCCGTAATTTCGTCCGTATCCGTAACCGTGTGCGTATTTGCCGTAACGTATTCGTCGCTCTCCGAGGTTTCGCCCTTAACTAAATCCGCGTGAACGTCATTGATTTCGACATCAGGTACTTTTTCGTTTGCCACTTCTTCGATTACTTCAACTTGTAAATATTCATCTTCAGGATCATACTTGGCAATAATATAATCCATCAACTCTATGTTATTTTCAATAATTTCCGACAATTTCGGAATTTCCCGTTTCGAGATTTCGTTCGTATTGTAAACAATATCTGGTAAAGGATCCTGAATGTCGTCTTGGTAATTAATTATTTTGTTCAGTTCGAGGGTGCGCAAGGGACTAATTGTGACTACATTGTATACATTAAATATTTGATTTGGTGGCTCAATGGCAGACGGATTGTTCAGATCTTCAAGCAGTTTCGATGGTGAGGACAATGCGCTCTGTGATTGTGAGTCAGGTACGAACAGCAGACTATCCCTGCGCTCCTCTTGCAGCTTCTTCAGTTCCTCTTCGAATGTATTCTGTACACTCAGCAAATTACCCTCACTGCCAAAGGTTAAACTAACGTTCTCGAGATTTTGTTTTGGTACTGCGTATCTCACGTTTTTGTAGTTAATACTTGGCAGCGGCGTCTCCGAATCACTCTCAGAACAATCTATGTGCGTCAGAACCATCAAATCGGCAACCGAGCGTGACTTCTGCCGTACCTTTTCAGTGTACAGTCCACGCTCGACTTTTCTCTTCCAATTCTCGTCCTCTGTTTCACTCTCACTGCTTGTCCTCATGGTGCTGCTGGTTAACGGGCCTAACTTAAATCTCAACTCGGGTTGCGCGGCAGTAGCGTTGGACAGATTTGAATCATTATCCTGAATATCATTAAAAAGATTTGGTGTCCACGATTCGTCGAGATTGTCGAAAGAATCTAAACCACTATTCCACTGCGTCAAGTGAGTATCAAACTTAACATTAGGTTTAAAGCTATCCCAGCGTCGATCAAAGTCCGGCAAAGAGTCGTACGTAACTTCCGTTGAATTCTTGTGCACATTTACTAGATCTTCTATCATTGGGTAAACTTGATTAATGGTTGGACGCAATTCACTATTAGACCAGCAGAGTTGCATTAAGCGGTACCTAGCATAACAAACCCAAGTTAGTAACATGGTGTCATGATTATGCAAATCATCAATATGCGCATTCGCACGCTACTTACATATAATCGGTGAATAGTACATTTGTTTTTGGTTTGGCAAGCCGCACGTGAGGTGGTCCCAGAACTCTCGATACGACTTCATCATCTGTCAGCTCAGCGTACGGTTGTGCGCCGCATTCGTAAACTTCCCAGAAACACACACCCAATGACCAAATATTGCTACATTGAGTCACCTGCAGCAAACAGTAGATTAGAAATGCATACGCGCAACACGGGGTCGTCAAATATACGAACGTTTTTCGTTTGTATCGTTGTTGCCGTGCATGTCACGCTTTCTGGAGCGCACCATCTAATTGGTACGTTCTCTGTTCCATCATAGTAATCTTCTGGATAATCTATTGTGTTGCAGCCGTAATCGCCAAGCTTCAGATCTAACGTGTCGGTGAGCCTACAGTTTCTAGTTGCTAAATCGCTGCAAAGCACATCAATGCCACACGGTTACGAAAATACATATTAATGAATCAAATACGAAACTAATTTTACTCACAGATGCATAATGTTAGCGGAGTGAAGATGTTTTAATGCAGACGTTAAATGGTAGCACCACCGCAGAGGTAGGTCACTGTTTAGAAAAGATTCTCGAGAAGTCGTTTGTTTCTTAAGGAAACATTTTACATCGCCCTGTAAATGAATTCAAACATATCCATTATAAATTGTCTCCGTGATATAAATAATAATTGTACTCAGTGACATTGATACAAAATCATTATTCTATTTTTAAGACATACGAAGTTGATACGTAACCCAAATATTAGATAGTTTCGCACCTGGTTTGTATACTCTTGTAGAAGCAACAGTGGCACAGTGTCCAAACTTCTGCCCAACAACAAAAGTATATTTGGGTGCGGTGTACATCGATAAATCGAAGCGTCGTGTAGGAACAAAATGCGTTGTCGCGTCGATGCACTGGCTTCTAAAATTCGCACGACAACCGGCTTCCAAGCGTCCTTGTCAGTGCTGTCGAAGCCTTGTGCGGTTCCTTCCACGACGCGCCCAAACCAACCCTTGCCCAGCTCACGAATATACTTCAAGCGGGTTCTGGGAAATTCCACTTCGCCTTTCCCTATTGCAAGAACATCGAACAATCACAATCTAATTGCTATGAATTATTTATCGTGAACAGTGTGAATAGTTAAAAGATGACATACCAAACCACGATCGGACGTCGATATTCTCGTACGTCCAATCATCCTCGCTATGCACCAAAATCTCTTGTTGTGAGAAAACATTTGGTTGAATATGCGCATCGTTTGTTAAAGGATTAAAAATTGTAAATTCGTTACGATTATTTGTTGTCGACGCTAATGGATTAATGTGGCCATGGTCTAGGTTGCTTGGCACATTTTCGACCACAACTGTATTTTGGAATTCCTACAAGAGAAACATTGTGATCATTAGCATAAAAGTTGACATTGATGGTTAATATCGGACTTAATCAAGATAGTTTTAAGTACGTAATAATGAAAATTACCTGTTCGCTTTTCTCGTAAGGTTTGCCCTGGGTTAGAATGAAATTTAGTACATACAAAAATTGTTAGTTATATTAATATAGAAGAAATTCTAAAATAGGTGCGATGGTGCTATTTACATTAACAAATTTGCAAATTGCAGCATTTCCGCATTGGCAGTATTTAATTACATGAGCCAAGATTGTTTAAACTAACAGCTTTTCCCATCGACCTTATGTTACATGAGTTTATAGTTTCCGTGTTTCAGTTCACATTTTATGAAGTAAAAATTACGTTTTCAACACAAAGCGTCTCAAACAATATTTTCTATAACACGCGCCGCGGTAAATCTCTTTGTCATTTCGTTCTTCGGCTTAGAAAATTGTAGCAGATTATTCGCGGTGTATTGCTCTCGATTTCCCGTTAGATTGCAGGCAAAGTAGGATGTGCAAGTGTCGACTGGAACTTAAAACGAGATTTGTATACGCGAAATTGAATTAGCGGTCGCGCGAGCAAAGGAGGAAACGATTAGTGCGTCTGGCAGGAGTGGTTGATGGGAATTATGAGCCCGTCTTTCACAGTTAAGCGCTGGCGTGCACACACCGCATTGTTGAGCGCTTCGTGGGGAAAGACATCGATGGAACGGTATCACTTAATGCCTCTGTTAAACTAGCATTAATGAGAGAGATGCGAGCTCGCGAGCGTAGACCACAAGCTTGTGGCGGAATGAAAGACGCTTATCAAAAACCGTACACTTGGGTCGATGGGAATATCCAAGCCATTATTAATTAAGATTTGAGCCACGAATTAGTTGATAGAAATTTTAATCCTACCTTAAATCCATCCTTCCTTTGGCAACACATACAGCCCGCAAGGCAGACTACTCCACATATTGTGAGGAGGATTGCAATGAGACCAGTTAAAAACTGAGTGTGGCCATCTGAAACAACAAGAATGACATCTTAATTTTGTAATATTTAACAATACAATAAAATTACATTTTGACATGCACACGGATTCATATAACATGAGTATTTTATTTATTTGTGAATGAAGTACGATTCAGTATGTCACAAAGGATTTACTCAACTTTTGAAGAAAAAAATTGAATAAAGTGGTTACACAGTCACTGTGCATCCAAGCGCGCACATCTTTCTTGCCTTATTCTTATCCTCTGTTTGTTCAATACCGTTCGCATTGAAAAACGAATCTAATATACTGCTCGAATGAACAGAAGTCAGTAGTTACGAGTTGCAATATTCCTTCAAAAAATTCAATTAAAACTTTCTACGAACGGCTCAGAATATAAGCTCCAGCATTTTGCGTCCATAAAACTGGATCACAGCTTCATCTTAATCGGGGAAATAGGTACCTACACAAATCAATATCAATTTGCCTGATTGCTTTTTATTTGATATGATGGAAATAAATACCAGAATTCATGAGCTCATCAATTGTGAGTTATGGCCCGCTTCGTATATCGCTAGATTTAATTTGCTAAGAGCTCGTTATGCCTAATGTTATAATTGCGGCTCGTGAAAACGAATGCAAACGCAACTTACCGCACTCGTGCATTAACGTTTATTCCATGATTACGGGCATTTTCTTTCATTGGCTCTAATTAATAATTCATTTTCTAATTATGTTTGTTTCATTATTCACTGAGCAAATAACTCGGGGAAAGCGCAGACGCATCAAAGCAGAATGAACGGCACGAAAGTAATTAAAGTTGCAAATAAAGATGGATCCAACACGTCTCACACACTAAATGACATATATAAATAAATATAATATATAATGTGGCGTAAGCAAAACTAATTACATACTAAAACTTTATAAGCCTTAAAAAATATTTTGAAGAGTTTCATGTGTACGATTAAGTTGAGTTTTTGAACAAATATCCAACGCCGTTTATGTTTCACCGTCAAAGTAGTGTTAAAAGTATATAATGTTATATAAATTTAATTTAAAAGGATTTTCGGACTTCAAAAGTAACTTACAATACTAGAGTTGCTTTCGGATGTATTGAAACTAATACTGACTTAAAAAAAAGTGGTTATTTAATTCTTATCTATTAATTTACATAATAAAATGTAAATAATCGTTCCCCTAATTGATTATTAATAATCATAACACATTGTGTAAACATTGTTTAAAGAATGTTTAAACATTGCCTCTCAAAGTACAGCGATGAATAAGTCTCGTTGTAAATGGTTTTGACTATATTTCATTACAAAAATCATCAGCATGACTCATTGGCGTAAATTAATCTGTAAATGTTGAATCAGCCATTCAACATTGCCTGTGACGAAGGAAAGCAGTTTCGCGCTGTATGAGAACGTTTATACTTCAAGGTTGCTGCATTGCAACCAATTGCAAACACTTTCGTTTTAAATAAAAACATGTCTACATTAATACGATTTTATTGCCGTGTTCATTGTAAAATTCGCAACTATCAAATAAAAAGCAGTAAACGGACAATGCTTTCCAACTCCGAATATCTTACATACCGAACAAAACGTTGGAATGTATAATAAGATAATCAACAACAAAATAATCATCAAAAAGTATAATCGGTTTAGTCAATTAGTGGTTAATTAATCTTCATGTCGAAATAAGTGAGTGTTGTTATATCATTTTGTATCGCGCTGAATACTAAAATATTCATGAGCAATTAGTAACTAATTGTGAATTCTATGTGCGATTAGAAAATACATTGTGAAGTAATGAGACAAACATTTTCTCAAATTTGCTTTCATTATATAGCGGCGCACTTACAAGTTGCAACTATTCGTTGAGATATTCAAGTCAAACTGTACGAGTATTGTGAGTGCGTTGTGAAGCTCGCGTTTTGAAACGATTTCGCCTCATTTTCAGTACGATGGAGTACCGACATTAAACGAAAGCAAAACGGATGACTCATCCGATCGTTTAAAATAAAATAAACATTTATTTCATTGCAACTACGTCGTAATTACTAAATTTATAATTACAAGTGTACAATTTCGCTGCACTCATTTGAGCTAACTTGCATCGATGTTGTGAAACTTGCATTTCGAAAAGTGCGTTTAATCATAAAAATTGTGAGTCATTAAGTAAATTAGAGGAAAGAAACGCTGCAAATAACCTGAGCCTATAACCCCTACCTGATTTTTATTGAAATCAACTTCAAAACAAACTTATATTTAGAAATAAACTGCGTGTTCTTGAAATAAATATTTTCATGATTTTTTTCGGTAAGATTAATCAAATCAAAATGAGCGAGATTTCCTGTAAACAAACCAATTCAATAATATTTTGTTTGACATTATTATCACACATTTGTGCTTCTATTCGATCTAGATTAAAAATGTATTACATACATATTTTAAGTCACGACCCCAACCTTACACAAATTTACCCCAAGACGCGCATACACCAAATTAAATTTTCATGAAATTTTACACATCTACAAAAGCAGTGAATTACGGAAAAAAACATCCTCTATATTATCTTCTTCCAGTCGTCTGTCGTCTGTTCGTGATAACCAACATAATACGCAAATACCAGTTTAGACAAAGAGTTTCATGTTTATCCTCTCTTTCGATTATACGAATGAACGCAAACAAAACAATAAATTGTTAGAAATTGCAAACATATCGAAGCCTGTAATCTAAACATATGCATAGCTTGCTTGCGCAACGATTTAATTGTACGACAGTTTACTTTTCCAAAGTAAAACTTGTTACATGCTCTCACATTCACATGACCTTCTTGCACGTCTGATTCTTTATTGTTTTGCATACATTTTGCCATTTTTGCAAGTTGCCGAGTTGCCAAGGAGTTGCAAAATATCCAATGAAGTGTGTAATTAATTAGCATGTGAACATCTGACTGAATTGTCTGTATGTCTTATGTATATATATTCATTAATACTTATCCTAGTGTTATTAACAGAACGTCAAACTGTCTACACCCAAGGATTTTGATGGCTCATAATTACATATGTTGTTAACGCAGTTCAAATCATTTAATAGTTGGTCAATACAGTTGGACAAATATTTTACAATGATATATCACTGTTTATGTATTTATCTAAATCGGAAGATATTGTGGTAAATCGTAGAATTCCTTGCCGCAGTTCTACGTACTCGTATCTTTTGGAAAACTGCTGTTCGTAATACTGGGAATGTCGGAAATAGTTTTCCTCACATCCGGCCCGGAGGTACCGACGGTTTGCATAGTTCTGATAAGACGACTGAAATGGTTTCTAGTGTGTGTACATGAATTGTTTAAGAATTTCATTGAAATCAAAGGAATAGGTACACTCTATTTCATTGAACGTTAGTTGAAACTTTTGCTGTGATAGTTTACACATGAGACTTTACGTAGGGTGCAGCTATAATAATTTGTCGTTGAAACCGCTCAAATGAATATTACACAAATTGTAAATTTTAAATGTATATGGATCGTTGAAAATTAAAATGTTTGCAACAAATTGATGATCCACATTACTTAAAATAAAACGAACTTATGACAAGCCTTTATATTTAATGCAGCAATAGAAAATAAAACACTGATGTATCCAGATTAACTTTCTTCGTTGAAGTAACTTTTAGTTACTAGCTAATTCTTTAACCATGTGCCATGCGAAATCATCAAAGTAAAAAACTTATTACAATTGATAATGACAAGGTAAATAAAATAAAAGTGGTAAGTGACCATGAACTAAGTTACTTAATAGTACAACTGAACCACGATAAGCACCCAAAACAATCTCCTATTTAGATGCTTGTATGAATATAATCTATCTGTAGTTGATATGTACAAAAATGCACGCTACATCATAATGAATACAAAAAAGTGCAATGGCAGAATCAAACATATGTTTAGCTCAATATTATCCGAGTGTGAATGGTATAAATTTGTTATTGCAATATAACCTGCGTATAAAATATAGGTGCATACTCGTATTACATTGATGTATTGATGATGCGTATTGAAGTGATCTTGTTTGCTTTGTTCTGTTATTCAAGTGCCAGTGTCGTCCACGGTCCACTACTCTATCCATTCTTATTCATGTGGGATTAGCGTTTAAAGAGTACACAAATGGGTGCATGCACATGTTAACAAAAGGAAGCCCTACCTCCATAAGTATGGTCCAATCCAATCGGTAATCCATTACATAACTCCAGAAACAATAGTGAAACTAAACAACACACCAATTTCCATATTGCTCTTTCCATAATATCATACAATCAGAAAGTATGCGCGTGCTCAACAGCCGAATGACCGCATTGATAATATTTCTACCAAATAACGGGAGTAGTAAAGCTGTGATCGTCAACCCAACGTAAACTTCGACGCCAATTGTTGATTTTGCGGAATGAGAGCGTTTTCTCAATATTGTTGCGTTATCGACGGCCTCACTTTCGGCTGATTTTGGCAGCGGCCGGACGAAATTTACAACGCGCGCACACACTCACAAACGCGGGGACGAGCCCAGCGCTAAACCGAGAGACAAAGTGGTCCAACTCGCTGGGTTACACTTATGCAATAATAAAGTCGCAGACACCACTGGATAAAAAGCGATTCACTTAACGCGAATTTATTTAAGAGCTCCACGATGGATGGAGCTGCGTGAAGGCGGGTATCACACGGCGATGTGCATCGTACTTGCGGTCACATTTTATTCTGCTTCTCGGGATCGCCGCAATTGATCGTAGCCGACATGGTTTTAGGACGTCGACGAGACAATCGACTAGCGTGTAGCACTCGCTCTTTGCAGTCTAGGCATACCTCGTAAAAGCCGAATACGTCGAGCAGACCATCTCGATGGTGTAATGCGTATACCGACTGTAATGACAGACGACTCAAGAACTATGCGAGACAGACAAGGCAAGACCCGACGTTCGCCTAGAACCAGAGAACAGCAGGCAGCCCGGTGTGCGGCGAATTGAATTAGATGGAGATGTGACCATGAGGTTTACGGATATTCGAGAGAGAGAGAGAAAGGCTACAAGGAAAGCAATCGGACAGGTTTTGCCATCTGTTTACACATTTTAGAGGTGATTTTGAATAATATTTTGAATCATATTTACCCTTACCCTGTTTTACTCTGTTAATTTGCACTCGCAGGTTATTTAAATTAGAAACATTTAAACTAATTGTTACATTGTGTTTGTGTTTCAACGTGAAATTTTAGCAGTGTTATGGGTTCACCAGAAATTGTTTTCAAGTACCATTAATTTCCGCTAGATGTGGAGCTGAATGATGGTAAAGGTATAAACTGCATATAACTGCAAATATTATATTTATTTTGAAAGTTGCAACAACTATCTGATTTATACGATTAATTTCTGATACCAGATAATTTGTTGCTAAATTAAACAGTGTTGATAATTCACCATATTCTTATCTTTGTAGTCTTATTTAAATCATAAGTGAAATCTAACCTTATATTCTAGCACCTTTATTATTTACAATCGCAAAAATGTCTACGATAACAAAAACAGTGCCAACAGAAGACAAACTAAAGAACAAAGCAAAAGAGCTGAATAAAGCAGTCTCGGGAAGCAGCGATTTGGACACGGTCTTGAACAACATCAAAAAAGTCGATAACACATGTGCATTTGCTAAATGCAAGTCAAAGACAGCTGACTTTGCAATCACCTGCAAATTTTGCAATAGGAGATTTTGCACCTCACACGGCTTGCCGGAAATTCACGGCTGTGGCGAGGCAGTGCGCCGTGAAGAACGCCGGAAATTCGTACATCCTGATATCAAGTTTAATCAGGAGAAGCATGAAAAGGCATCAACAAAATTAAGTATGAAACTGAAACAAATGCAACTTGAGAGGAAGGCTAAACCTGGTGGTAGTAGTAATAAGAAGAAATAATAAAGTATATATTACATGTACAGATATATTTATTACTATCTTTACTAAAATTATTTTCATGGAGTGAATCACATTTAACATACATTATATGTTCATGAAGTGAAAAAATATATCTCTTGTTTAGAATAATTTATACTAAAATCATTACAAATTCCCACTTCCTATCTTTCAACTTTGTACCTTTGAACAAATGAAAGTACTTCACTAGGTTATGGATCGTTTTCTATTTAAAAAAATATTTGTTCACACTTGAAAATGTGTTATTTATGTACATAAATAAATCAATATTGATTCCCATGGAATTCTGCTAAAATAATTCTGTATATCTCTTAAATTTCTACTTATAGTCAATTCAGCCTTAATGTAAATTAAGATGATGTAAGTTACATCTGAGGCAAAACAAAAAAAACCTTAAGGTTTTTCAAAACGAGAAAAGAAAATAAAAGTAATGTTAGTATACTTAAACTGAATTATCATAGTCAATTCTAAGCCGAAAATAAATTAATCGAGACTAAAACAACACAAATCAAAGACCAACAAATGACGAAATAAATCCAAGCAACATTCCTGAATGGACTCGCATATTTATTCCTAACATTCGCACCTATATCTCTCCTGCAATACTTTCTCGCTTGCAATACCAGCATAGCCGGAATGATATACTGAATACAGGTGCCCGCATACGACCCCGTAAACTCCACCAAGCGACCTAAATCATGCGTGGACAACGCTACGGCGATCGGTGGTGCGATAGCTAACGTCGGGAACGTTAATCTCTTCACAACAAACCCGTATTGATCCATTAGCAGTGGATCCAAAAATAATGTCTTCAAATTATTCTGCAACGTGATTGCCACAATGGGGAAGCTGGTCGATAAAGTAAAAATTGGAAACATGCCCAAAAAATATAGCAGCATCTCCATAAATAGCGATAACGTCTGATCACCACTTGGAACAAAGTTTAACGTGTACAAATCGTTCAATTCGCGGAATGCAAATACACCCGTCAAAGATAACAATAAATAAAATGTGCAGATCAAACCATAGTCCATGGCGAGCTGTTTCAGTACATATTGTTTGTCATTGAAGGGCGCAATGAGGCCGGGTAACGAGTGATGGCACATGAAGCTGTAGACGCTCGCGCCGATAAGCGCCGGAAGACCATGAAACGTAAACATCGCCGGCTGATGATCGGCGTTCTGACCGTGGTATAGTCGCAAGCTTGCCATCGCTATCATTATGGAGAAGGCAGACCAGCGCATTGTAGTAGTCGCCAGTTGGAAGTACTTCGTTTTCTGTACATCAAAATAGGTGAATGGACACACTAACAATGCGAAAATGCCGACGCAAATTCGATACAAGTCAACTTTGGATATTTCGTTATTGAAGCAGTCTATGTTGAACTCATCTTCGAAGTTGGTCGCATTATCTTCCGTGTGATTGTTGGGACACAATAAATCGCTCATTGACTTGGATATTGCTGTAGTGTATATTGCCAAATCACCATAGAGATAGATGCAGAGGGAAGCAAAGAACAGAATCCTGCCCACTTTGTTAAAATATAAACCAGCCATTTGGCCCATTTCTACTGATTGGTTCAGACTGAAATACCGTCGCATATTGCGATTACCACTATTGATAATCGCTGTTTGTTCATTTGTTTCTTCACTTTCGGATTCCGAATCCCTTGCTGCTTCACTTTCCTACAAATCGAATAACTTAATATTCATGTTTATATTTATTCGCTGTCTAAAGAACAAAAGTAAAATAAAAATACAAAGTGCCATTGCACAACAACAACAATCTAAACAAAGTTATGGCTTGATCAACTCATTTGCTACCCTCAAGGATTATAAAGCCTTTACAAAGTATTTTCAGATAGAAGAAGCAAAATGATGTTTTGATTATAACTATTTGCTTAGAAACATGAACTAAGATACATACCCCATCAATTTTATGTGATTGCAGCTTTCTTATCTGTATTGTAGCATTAGCAACAGCCATGGTTTCAATTACAAAAGTAACAGTAATGAAACCAACAAAGGCCAAGAATATAATTAATACTGTGCTGAGCAACCATCCTGCTTTTGCAAACACTGATGGAAGTGTCAGGGCTCCAGTCCCAACAATTAAATTAAATACATATATCAATCCCACCTGAAATTGTTCTTAAATGCAAATTATGTTTTCGACAGTAAATTAAGAACTCACCCATGATGAATATTCACCGTGAGTGTCGGCACTTGGCGTGGGCATTTTGATTTTAATGTTTTCACTTCCGTTCTGTAACCGTACATCGAACTATCGCGTAATATTTATTGGTAATGTTAACAGTATTAACATTATTATGCAGTCTTATCAGTTTTCAAATAACAATACGATGAACAATACGTGTACACTGGCCTTGGCAGCAAAAATGAATGACATGCTCAATATTTTTTTACATTTTATAGTTAACAGCAGCCCCCTGTCACTTAAATGCGAGAAAGACACAAGAGTTAGCATGTGTGTCGCAAAATTTTAGTACCTCTGGGTGGCGCTGGTAGTTTAGTTGCACGACAGCTGTATACCGTTTGTGTTGCTATCAAATGGCTAAACTACGCAACTATATTGTAACCGTTGCAATATACTTCTCAGTAAATATACGCTCCCTGCAAATACCGACATCATTGAGTCGTTCTCTGTAACACGGAGTTGAAGAGGGCTGGTTCTAACTCTCGATCTCTTCTTTGTTTTAGTAATCGCTTTCGAGTTCCGATCGGAGTCATGAGGTAAATTTGAATGCGAATTTGATTCGCTTCGTCGGTTGACTTCCGATTTAAAATAAAATAAATAATGCTCTTGTCGAAGTGTTGCAACGCATAAAATACTGGTAAGATATTATTACTTGCTTCTTTTATACACTCGTGTTCGTAATACATATGTCTTATTAATCATTTCGCACGAACGGCGCGGCGCACAAACTTTAGCGGGGCATGTAGAGATGTAGAATTAAATTCTCCGTCGGGTTGTACTTGTCTGTTGCAGGAATTCGACCTGCAACCCACGAAGATTGGCATAAAAAAGGTGATTTATCGCTTTGTCACCTTTTTTCGTGAAATATTTGTATTTTTACGGGTTTGTACGCGATCTTGGCGGCTGAGTAACTTCAGTTCAGCCTCGAAAGACGCGAATTAAATTCTCCGTCGGGTTGTAGGTATTTGTTAGCGGTAGAAGTGACTCGTGTTTTGGGCACCGTATGAAGGTAGCGGTAGAAGTGACTTCATTTTGGGCACTGTATAAAGGTACTAACTAAAATGATATAGGTTTTTAATTTCAAGAGTAAATTACTAAAGAAGTAAAATTTGAATGTTTTTTTGCTTTTTTGTAGTTTTTGAAGAGATTTGATGCAATTTTAAAGAAAATATGTGCTTTTATGACAAATACTTTCACTGACTATTTATGCCACGATTTAGGCAGTGTACTATGTTTATTTATTGCTAAATTGTTGAATATTTGCGTTAAAATTGCAAAATTTACTTCATTTATTTTGAATTAATACATTCTAGCGACATCTACATTTGAAGCTTTGAGTTATGTGTAAAAATTGCTATTGGTTTAGATAGGGTGGTGCGTGCGCAGTTGCGTGTACGTATGACACACGGCCACTGCCATTTAATTGCGTGACCATACACTGACACATAGCAAATCACTCACTGCCTCATACTCAAAAGTAACCTCAGATGGCGCAATAATGCATGTTTTCGTTAAAAATATTCCTGCGAGTCGGCGTGCCCAGTTGTTGTGTGGCCGGCACGCAACTCTTACTTCGTGCGATAAGTACTAATACTTAAAAGGATATTCGTGTTTCGTGTTGTAAATTCGTTATATCGCGTTATATTTGCTGGAATTTAGTGTTAATAGACGGGTATTAGTCGCTAAATATTTATCGCGTGTATAATCTTCGGAATTCAATGTTTTCTGTGTTTAATACAGTTTCGCGTGTATCTGGGATCGCTTGCCGTCGGACGCCAGTCGGCCATGTTGTGTGATTGTAAATAATATTTTGGAGTTGTGCGAACCATTTTTATCTTCAGCAGAACACGAGGGGCGGCTGTTCTACCTGGTAAATATTATTATTTAAATAATTATGGCAAATAAGACCATTTTTAAGGCAAAGTTTGGGTTCCTGCGGAACTCGGATTCATTTCAACATTGTCCGAAATTGTATAACTAATGTTTTGTTTCTTGTTTATTTCAGTATCTACTCGCATTTGATTTACCGTGTTCGATACACTGGTGAGTGAAATTTTTCATCGTTCATATTATCTATCTATTTTTCGATTTTACAGTTATTCTGCAATTAGAGAAAAACTTCTATTTGCGAAAATTACGGTCAAGCACTTTATCATTGTAAAATTTTACTCTAGGACTCATAGCTTTTCCGTAATTTGACTAAATGTCAACTTACGTTTTCCGGAGAAAAATTAAATTTGAAAATTTGAAGTTTTCATTCTGAATGTTGCCATAAAAAGTCCTCCTGAGCATTTTATTTTAGTAAAATTTTACTCTTGAACTAATAGTTTTCCCCGCAATTTGATAAAATGTAAACACACATTTTCCACAGAAAAATTAAATTTTCTTATTTTGTATGTTCCTGTAAGACGTGCTCCTGATCGTTATATATTAGTAATATTTTACACTAGGACCTATAGTTTTCCCGTAATTTAACTAAAACTAAAACTTACATTTTCCACAGAAAAATTAAATTTGTAAATTTTATTTCGGAAGTTGTTATAGGAGGTCTCCCTGAGCATTTTATTTTAATTAAATTTTACTTTTGGACCCATAGCTTTCCTGCAATTTGATCAAATGTGAGGTCACATTTTGGACCCCACAAATGTGAGGTCACATTTTCCACAGCAAATTTAAATGTGTAAATTTAAAGTTTTTATTTTGGATGTTGCTATAGGAACTCCTCTTGAGTACTTCATTTCAGTAAAATTTTATGCTTGAACTCATAGTTTTCCCGAAATTTGATTAAATGTAATCTTACATTTTCCACAGAAAAACTAAATATGGAAATTTGAAGTTTTTATTTTGAATGTTCTAGTAAGAAGTGCTCCTGAACATTTTATTTAAATCAAATTTTACTCTTGGACTCATAGTTTTCCCGCAATTTGGTCAAATGTGAACTCACATTTTCACAGAAAAATAAAATTTGATAATTTTTTTTTTTTTAATGTTGCTATAAACCGTTCTCCTCATCATTTTATTTTAGTAATATTTTACTGTTGGACTCATAGTTTACCCGTAATTTGGTCAAATGATATAATACTTTTCAGCAGAAAACTTTCCGTTGTTTTTTAGTATAAATTGTCTTTAGAATTCAGTTGGAATTGTTCATTAAATAATAATATAAACCTAAATAGTATAGCAATACATGATCAAATTAAATATCACTAAAATATTTGATGTAAAATCGGTCAATCTTTTAGCATAAGAAATAATAATTTCATGATTTGAATTTTATTTTTTTATTAATTTTATTAATTTAAATTCCGGGACTACTATCTGTAGCATTCATAGATGGCACTAGGATGTACTAAAATGTAGTTGTTTGGGGTTCTAAACTACAATAATTCACTCCTTGCAATAAATAAGTGAGATTAGATTGTTTATTCGCTTATAACAAATCAATAGTAATGGAACTTGCGTTAGGAAAGTACAGACTCGACTTGTGTCTCTTATGCGTAGCTAACTTGTAATGATAATAATATGCCGCCAGAGCTGTGGCGTCCCCGAGAGAGAGAGAGAGGTTTATTTGTATGAGTGATTGTATGTGTGTCAGTGTGTGCGAGTGTTTGTTTGTTTGCGGGATTTGGTCGCTGCGTTGGCTGGCGCTTCAGTCGGCTTGCTTGTGCTGGTGGCCGGTGGCGGCGTGACCGAGGCGGCGAGACCGCCACAAAAAATTGTAAAATCGAGTTATACGACTTATTTTTATATTTATCGACAAACGTGGCCAGAAGAATAATTTTGTATATAGTGCTGTTATCAGCGATTCAATATAAACAACTTTAGTCACGTTTTTTGCCCTTTTACCCCACGAAAATCTTTCACCATGATAAATTAGAATTACACAACTCAAATTTTAATTTTTGATCAGTTTTAATAATTTTAATTGCGGGACTACTATCTGTAGCATTCAGAGATGGCACTTGCCTGAACTAAAAATCATAAAATAGAATTGTATTCTTTATTACTATACTTATCCGCATACGTTGGCATTCGATACAAGAATTGTGTTTGTTTTGAACACAATTTACACTTTGTCATCGAATGCTCGTGTGTCGTCGTTGCCATCCCCTCACGCCGCACGTTGTCACGTCCATAGTTTAATTGTGATCGCAGATAACATGCCTCTTGCAATTCACGCACACTTGCGTTGCTTGCGCTATCGCTGGATTGCAGCTAGTTTCGTGCAGGTTGCTGGCGTATCCAGACGTATTTCGCCCTATTGTATTGTGCCCAATCTAATCTAATAACCATTGCATTGGTAAGTTTTTATTAAGTTATATTATTCGGTCAAATGTTTTATGACCTGCATGTTGCAATATTTTAATTGCGGGTAATATAGAAAATGAAGAAAACGACAAAATTTGCCATTTTCTTGCAATTTTCCAAACACGCGGTGGGAAACTGGCCATATCTCGGGAACCCTTTGTCATATTTTAGTTATTTCTTGATATTATTATAGCGTAAGACAGATTTTTTAAGATGCACCCCTGAACCACCGCTAAATTCGGTCGTACCTGCCTCAAAATGGACGCTAAACTTTGCCCTTTTCTTGCCATTTTCAAAACACGCGGTGGAAAACTCGCCATATCTCAGGAACTCTTTGTCATATTTTAGTTATTTTTCGATTTTATTATAGGGTAAGAGTGCATTTTCAAAATGCACCTCTGAACCCCGCGAAATTAGGCCGTAACTACCTCAAAATGCCGCTAAAGTTTGCTCTTTTCTTGCAATTTTCAAAACACGCGGTGGGAAACTGGCCATATCTCGGGAACCCTTTGTCATATTTTAGCTATTTCCCGATTTTATTATGGGGTAAGAGTGCATTTGTAAGATGCACCCTAGAACCCCCGCGAAATTCGGTCGTAACTGCCTCAAAATGGCCGCTAAAGTTTGGCCTTTTCTTGCAATTTTCATAACACGCGATGGAAAACTGGCCATATCCCGGGAACCCTATGTCATATTTTAGTTATTTTTCGATTTTATTATAGGGTAAGAGCGCATTTTCAAAATGCACCTCTGAACCCTCGCAAAATTTTGTCGTAACTGTCTCAAAATGGACGCTAAAGTTTGCGCCTTTCTTGCGATTTTCAAAACACGCGGAGGAAAAGTGGCCATATCTCGGGAACCCTTTGTCATATTTTAGCTACTTCCCGATTTGATTATAGGGTAAGAGCGCATTTGTAAGATGCACCCTTGAACCCCGCGAAATTCGGTCGTAACTGCCTC